TTTTTTTAATATAAAAAGTTGTACATACATGCAATCACTTACATACAGCCAAATCCCAGTGTTCTGCATCATGTGCAGAATACTGTGATAGGGCTGATAGTGAGAAAAATTGTTTCCTTCAATTAACTGTACAGGGCTGTTTGGGTAATTGCTGCAAACAAAGTTTTCATTCTTCTTTGCCTAGACATAAAATACACAATAACACATTGGCTGAGTTGAAAACCAAATTTTCATTCTACAATTTAGAATTTGTGTACTTGAAACTGGCAGTCAATTGCTATTTTTCAAGGCCAGTGTTTATTTTTATTTATTTTTGTCTTGTCTGCTGATTGTATACCCAGTCAGGTTGATTCAAGTCCTTATTTAGTGCTTCCAATGCACCAGTATACTGGGTATGGGTGTATTGGCATACAATTATTGACAAAACAATAACATAAGCTGATTTTCTATGCTGACAAAACTCTTTGCATTTACCAAGGCTATTGAGATTGTTTCAGTAAAGTATGATTTATTTTACTTGGCCTATTGCAGGCTACCTTGATCCATTTTCTTTCGGCAGTGGGATAACACTTGTCAGTCCTTACATCCCACTAATACAACTTGATTTTATGTTTATGTTTCTTTTCATCTTGTTTTTTTGTTGTGTTTTGAGTTTAGAATATAAACAATTTCAAAATTGTGGTATATATTATTGTACATTTATTGAAAAATGCAATATGAATTTCATGAAACACTTGTACGACAATGGCTAATTTGCTTGAAGAATTGCCATTTTTTTCATGTACAAATGTTGAGGTCTTAGATTTAGCATATGACTTACATGTTTATGAAAGTTTAGTATTTAATCCTATGGATTTAAATAGATTAATTGGAGAACCTCAAGATAATCCACCTGAAGAGCATACGCCAATGAGAAATATTATTGAACAATGTAATTATTTGAATTTAGACCAGCTTAATATTAACCTGGATAAAAGTAGTGGTCTTACATTTTTACACTTAAATTCCAGAAGTCTTCCAAAGAATAAGTGGAAGTTTGATCTTATGCAGTCATTAACAAAACATTCCTTCTCTGTTATTGCTATGTCTGAGACATGGCTTAACACGGAAAATGAAGCCAATTTTCAATTAACAGGATATAATTCTGTTTTTAAATCCAGAGATGGTATTAAGGGAGGTGGAGTTTGTATATATATTAAGGAAAATATCATTTTCAAAGAACGTCATGATCTTACAATGAATTTAAATTCCTGTGAAAATGTAACAATTGAAATTACTCCACCTAATGGTAAAAATACTTTAGTATCTGCTATTTATAAGCCTCCAAATTCTAATTTGGCTATTTTCAATGATGAATTTAATGAATTCTTAAATAAAGTCACATCTGAAAAAAAGCCAAGTTATTTATTGGGTGATTTTAACTTAGATCTACTTAAAGCAGATGAACATAACTTGACAAATGATTTTTTATGCCATCTATATGAGAACAATTTTATGCCCTTAATCTATCGACCAACAAGAGTAACTCATAACAGTGCAACTTTGATTGATAATATATTCACGAATGTTAATAATGTGACATCATCAGGTGTAATACTTTATGACATCTCTGATCATTTTCCAGTATTCTGCACCTCTTTACTTGAAAAACCATCTTATAAAAAAATCAAAATAAGTTATCGTTCATATTCTGATAAGAACTTAACCAGATTTAAAGATGAAATATGTCTCATGGAATGGACTGATTTAAAACAACAGGACAATGTCAATGAAGCATATTCAATATTTATTAACAAATTTACTGAGGTGTACAATAGATGTCTCCCAATATTAACTAAAACTGTCAAAACTTACTGTAACTTAGAAAGACCATGGATATCCCTGGGTATTATTACTTCAGCTAAGAGGAAAAATAAACTATATATTAAGTTTAAAAAATGTCCAACTGATGAAAATAGACTCACTTACACTAATTATAAAAATAGACTTAATCATATTATCAGGAATGCAGAAAAGCTTCATTATAAGAAAAAATTTGAAATTAGCAATGGCAATATAAAAAAGACCTGGGATGTAATAAACTCTATTTTGAAACGTAAACAACCTAAGAAGATCCTTAATGATAATTTTATCCATGAAGGAAGAAAAATTGATGATGGAAAATCCATAGCAGACAATTTTAATAAATTTTTTAGCACAATTGGTGAAAAGCTAGCTAATGAAATTAACTCGGATAAAGACCCACTTGATAATGTTAATAAAATCGAACGTAATATTAATTCAATTTTCTTGGCACCTGTTGATGTTAATACTGTCCAAAATCAAATCAAGAACTTAAAGGACTCAGCCGCAGCCATTGATGATATTAAACCAAAAGTTGTTAAAGTATTACATGATCATATAGCGGATCCTCTTACCTTCATTTATAACCTCTCTATGACCACAGGTATTTTTCCTGAAGAACTTAAACTTGCTAAAGTTATTCCAATTTTCAAAAAGGGGGAACATGATAAATTCACAAACTATAGACCAATATCTATTTTAAGTGTATTTGCTAAGATGTTTGAAAAAATAATGCATGACAAAGTATCTACTTTTTTAGAGAAATATGAATTATTGTATTTACACCAGTACGGCTTTCGGAAACATAGATCAACTTACATGGCACTCCTAGAATTTATTGAAAATGTCAGACATTCATTAGATAACAAAGAATATTGTATCGGAATATATTTGGATCTATCAAAAGCTTTTGATACTGTTAATCATGCAATATTACTTAAAAAAATGGAACATTATGGTATAAGAGGAATTGCACTTTCATGGTTTTCATCTTATTTATCAAATCGAAAAATGAAAACTGAATACTCTAAAAGTTTATCCGAGAAATATTTGTCTGAAGAAGCAATCGTTAACTGTGGAGTACCCCAAGGGTCTGTTCTAGGCCCCCTCCTATTTATCATATTTGTAAATGACTTCTATCTAGTTTCTGATAAACTCAAACTGGTGATTTATGCGGATGACACTAATATATTATGTAGTGATTCCAATCTTGATAATTTGACCACAACTGTAAATTCTGAACTGTGTGACATCAATGATTGGTTGTTGGCCAATAAACTCACTTTAAATGTTAAGAAAACAAAATACATGGTCTTTGGAAATAAAAGAAATATATCTGTGAACAATGAAATAAAAATTGCAAATTCTAACCTTGAAAAAGTAGATGAGATAGGATTCCTGGGAGTAATTATTGATTCAAAATTATCTTGGGCTCCCCATATCAATGCTCTTCATAGAAAAGTTTCAAATGTTATAGGAATGTTATATCGAACAAATTATGCTCATACTTTAAATTCAAAGATGATAATATATAACTCTCTGATTTTTTCTCATCTTAATTACTGTAATATTTTATGGGGAAATGCTTGTAAGAATCTATTAAATAAACTACTGATATTGCAAAAGAAATTTGTTAGATTAATAACAAATTCAGATAGATTAGCTCACACATTCCCAATTTTTCAAGATCTTAAAATACTTAATATTTATCATATTCACACAATCCAAACTGTTTCATTCATGAAAAAAGTTATAAGCAAATCTGTACAGTTCCCTTCAAAATTATACGATCACTATTTCAAAACTAGAGAAAACATACATCAACGTATAACTCGATTTGGTCATAACTTAGATATTCCTAAACATAGAACCAGAATTGGTGAAAATTCTATTAAGGTCCATGGTTCATATATATGGAATTCCCTCAATGAAGATATTAGAAATAAACCATTAAATTCACTCATATCTCGTTTTAAAATTGACCTCCTGAGTACAGAGTAACCAAAACATTTATTTCATTTCTTTATTGTCTCATATTATTGTATTTGTATATTGTATTTATATTATATTATTGTATTGACCTATGTACCACTTTAAATGTTCACAGTTTATCATGTTTATTGTAAATTTAATTATGGGCAGTCATACACCCCCTGGGGTGTCATAGCCTGTATAATGTTGTAATTTTTGTAATGAAAACTGAAATAAATTATTTTGAAATTGAATTGATATAATACTGATACATGTTTGTGATAACAATGTTGTGTGAATTCTGCCTACAACGTGTGAAATAAGGAAAAAAGAAAAATCATACCTTTGATGTTCCAACATTTTGTTACGTAATCAAGTCGGAAAACCAGTGAAATGCAAGCAACTCTGTCCTTGCAGAGGAACATGCTCATTTGTCAATTGATGGTGGAAAAATGGTGAAACCCTAAATGAACTTAGGCTTCAAAAATTCTATTAAAAGAGAGCAGCAAGATCTAAATTATTGCAGCCCCGTGTTCTTCCTCCAACTTCTGATGCTGCGGAATACTACAGTTAGAGTGTACCATCAGATCCAGGAGTGGGGGGAAATTAACTGCCTCCGTTATAATTGGGCGGGGAAATAAGCAACAAAACTTTTGTACCAATTGCCTAAATGCAGCTCCCCTCTCTCAGAGATCATCCATCGTGTGTGTAAGGCAGATTGTACTTCTATGAGATGTACTTGCAGAAAAATGTAATAACTGTTCTATGGCATGTAAGGTATGCAAAGGCATTTGTGCAAATACCTCTATTACTGATCATGAAAATTATGATGGGGGGCCAACCCAGAAAAAAAATTGGGCCCAAATAAGGGCCTTAAGGCCCCGAAAAGTGGGCCTTTTTGGTCATAAGTGGGCCCTTTAAGATGTAGTATGAATGAAATGTACCATGGTCTGGCTATAGTTTTCTTTATTTGGATAATGGTTTCAGATTTGTGGGGATCTGAGCATTGTTTATTGACACATTAGACTATAGTTTGGAATACTGGGGTTTATTTTCCTAATGACATGTTGTACCTTTAGATGTTTCATTTTCTTCCTTTGGCACTTGTGCACACATATTTATTTTTATGCTGGCAGTTGGTGACAATGGGCTAATCTAAATAAATTAAAGTAAAAGGTTCAACTTACGTCGTATCCCATCTGTAGGACACATCCAATGCATGTCCATCCACCCACTGCATCGGGTACTAGAGCTGTGAGTTCATCACGCACAGTCTGGTTCGTTATATCCCGCATTGAACTCAGTTTTGTGGCTGATGAACTGAACTTTGCCATACCAATAGACGTCCCATCTGGGAGGGTGTTCAAATAGTTGAATGCTCCCTGGCGCATCTTCTCTAATCGCTCGCCCTGCAAATGATTTTCCACATACAATGTTTAAACTGTTCGACATATACACTATATTGAGTCTGAGGAAAATAATAATTTAGGAAACCCCAAAACCGAAACTTTATACACGTTGAACATTTATCAACCTGAATTGATCAAATCGAAAAACAGATGATGTCTGGTACATACACTCATACTTCCTGATACATCCAATAGAAGTACAACTTTTCTTGTAACCGATTGGACAATTTTGAATGTAGGCGTGGTGTCAGTGGGTTCACTCTCTCCCTCCTCATATTCAGAGTAGTCCACTATAGATGGATTGCTTTCTGAAATGGAAAGCTACTTGTATGCAACTTTTGGTGCCCACTGACCAGGCAAATATGAAATTCTCTACACAACTATTCATTGATGCTGACCAAAGTTCCATACATGCCTATAAATAGTGTGTATATCCTCTTAACATGAGTCTGTCACACGATTTAAGTTTGTAAGTTAGGTAGTTTCTGCTTGATATATGGCTTATGTTTCCAAAATTTTCTTATCTTACCATCCTTGAAATCGGTATGTTCGAGCATGACATCCCATGAGCTTTTAGAACTGCACAATCTGTTCTGTTTATTAGATGCTCGCGCGTTGTGTTTCACCCCAAGGCTAGTGGAGCTGCAGAATTCTTCAACCTAGAGTGTGGAGATGAGAAAATAGTTTAAAAACACCTAATATACCTTTACAGTGGGTGAACAATTTCCAATAAACATATTATAGTCATCTATTTTATAGATCTGGACGACTATGCGATGGGACCGCACCATACTTATTAGAAGCGCAAGTGTATGTATTGTTGTTGTATTAAACGAAATTGTAATTATGTTACGTTACGTTTTGTTGTCATGTCTTGTTAAGATACTTTACGTTACGTTACATTACTAACGTTATACCATGTCGTGTATTTTCACGTTGTCATGCTTGTTAAGATACTTTACGTTACGTAACATTACTAACGTTATACCATGTCATGTATTTTCACGTTTATATGTTACCTTATGTTATGTTATGTCATGTTACGTTGTGTTATATTATGTTATGTTGATATGTTGTATTATATTGTGTTATGTCAAGTCATGCCTATCGTTAAAAATGAATCAAAGCTAAAGGAGGGTTACATGCATCGGTTTGAAAACTGACTTAGAATTCTTTTTTGAGGTCCATAGTTTTTGGCGTTTACAGGAACTCACCGAATCAATATATTGCCCATACATGAGACTGGCTTTTGCCGTGTTGCCTGTCGTAGTTGGGTAGAATCTGCAGTCATCTTCGGGCAGAAATGTGAAAAAGTTGATTTGACATATTCCGCCAGTATTTCTGTTCTTGGATGTTCCTTGAATGCCTTCCGTACATCTAGGGAAACAAATAAACAATCTGGATAAAATGGTTTTCTAATTTTGAGACCTCGTAGAAATAACCTTAACGTTCAGTCATTTTTTGACGAAAAAACTCTTTGTGCACTTGGAAGACCCGAATATTTAACTAGAGGCCCAATTGTTGATTATTCAATGTTGATTCAATTTGGTTAGAGATAAATGACAATTATGGTGTCGTATTACACAATACCATCGATACTTGCACTTTCATTGTTTTAAGAACATATCAATAAATCGATTGACCGTCAATGACGATATCGTCAATAACTATAAAAAAAACGTTACTGTGGTGGGATTGAAGGATAGGGGTTACTTGCCTTTTCTTGGTGTATTGAAGAAGCAGAATTCAGTCATCAAACAGATCATTATATATTCATTTTTGTAAATATGGTTACCATGTTTGTTTTTCGGAAAATTTGGCATATTTCTCCATTTGAGTTTTTAATAACTTCATTAATTGATAACATATTAGGGACCTTTTTGTTTAAATGCTGTTTTGAGATTGTCAGAATACATTGGTAGGTCAGTTGTACGTGTTGCATGCAATTTTTTCACCCCTATAAATCTGATTCTGCCTTTAATACAAATACTCATTTAATTAATCGATTAAACAATGTGTTCTTTATGATAATAAGCACATACCTAGATGGTCTAAAACCCTCGCCAGTTGAATAAAATGCTTTGTCCCCTTCGGAGGTCTTTGGGTACTCATCAAAAAGTCCCCAACGCAAATGACCCCATTCGTGCACGATCACCTTTCCTTTAATGAGAATAATAAGTAATTATTTTTCTTTTAGGCCTATATTACACGAACCAGTTGGGTCAAAATTATTCTGCTTAATATTGTCTTCTCTGAAATTCAGGTATGGAATATTGTAAAACTCAGTTTCAAAGAAGGTAATTTTATTTTATTTAAGTTTCATCTTTTACCACAAGTAGTGACATATTGTTATAGTCTCCAACTTTTTTGTGGGCGATATTTGGCGTTAAGCGTCTGTAACAAATGGCAGGTGGGGACATTTTACATGTCAATGCCTTTTTGTTGAAGTTATAGTCTGTAACCTACCATATGGTCCCCATTGTTGCTGTGAAGTGACTTTGCTTTGAAGGAAATTTGGAGTAAGATGCATGAACTCCCCTCCTTCTCCGCAGCCAGTCAGTTGTTTTACGTATGGTGCGTCTCCATAAAGAGCATTAGGCCCAGCAATGCGAACATGTGCTAGGTCAAATGTCTCACCAGTTACAGGAACATATTCAGGCATATTAGACCATTTTTCCGGAACTAGAATCGTGATGTTCCGGAAGAAAGCACGATTATTTGTAGCTCTGAATAGTGAAGCAGATGCATCAGTGAACGTTGACTGAAATCACATAAGCTTTAGTTTTACTAACGCTCACCATAAAATGTATACTTAAAAATTGTTAAAAGAATAAACATTAAAAAACAGGGGCTGCAGTGTAGACCATTGGGGAACAGAATAATTTGGCATCACTTTTTGAGTATGGAATAAAGTACATTAGATATATAACGCTGATCAATTACTAATATCAATTTTTAGTATGTTCATGAATCAATAATTCAATAGATCCACAAACAGCAGATGAACTATTTGGGTCAAGCGCCTTTTGGAAATCGATCTAGAATTTTGAAATACCTATACGCTGGTTTGATTTTGTTTCTCATAGAAAAATTCAAACGCACTTAACTTTATTGGAAAATCGTTTGATGAAATCATTTACAAATCCTCGCATTAGATAGTGTGATCTTGTCAAATATCGAAATCGTGCTATCGCCGAGGAGAAAAGCACAACAAGTGAAACGAAACTACAATTAACAAATTTATTTTGATTGGTCATGAACCGGGTCATGAACATTGCTGAAGGTCCGGAAATGTTAATGTTCAGTTAACAATTGGCCAGGTATAAATGCCCACTAAATATCCAACAGAAAACAAATAATGACTTTTGTCAAAGGTAACGTCTGTTTACCTGAATCTTAGAGAGAACCTGCAATTTGATGAAAATGTAACGTTGGGCATACTACACAGTGGTCATCAATTGATCGCGTTGTTTAACAGAGGTCTATATGAAGGAAGCCTATGCAGCCATTGGTAAATATAAACCAAAGAAACCTTGATTTTGATTTCTATGAATAAGAGGATACAAATTAATCCTAATAATAATCCTCATAATGTATGCATACTAAACCGAAAACCCTTGGGCCAAGATTTCGCTTTGTTGCCCTTTAATGAGGTTATTGCTATATTGAAGAACTATTTGACCCTCTTATTTGCTATGCTGTAAATAGCTTTGTCCAGGCATTTGGAAACAAAGCTCGGTTTTGTGAAAGGTTTCTATACATACGGGTCATTTAAGAACAAAAATCTACGTAAGGAGTGTGGACTTCAAAATTGATAGTGTAAGGGTGCGAAGGGGCATAGCCGGGATTTACAAAAAGTCGAGGCAAATCTGAATTAAAGGTGAAACAATATTATTGCATTACATCATCAGAAATAAAGCTCCACTTTTACAGTTTCAACTGAAAAAATATCTGCATCATGATTTGTTTGAAAATGAAAATTTTGATGTGCCAGTTGCCTTGTCTGCCTTATGCCTGGCTACTCAAATGAAACGTTTTAAAAATGTATTTATTGTCCCTATTTTTTATGTTTTAATAAGAATTCATATATTTTGTTGAATTATAAATTAAGATCGTAGTTATAAACATGCTAACAATGTCATGGTAATAATAAAAATAGGAAATATATACAAAGTAGGTCAAAAATGTTTCATGTATCACATACTTTTATTTCAAGTATATATTGCAATAATTTGTTAATATTTACCATATTTTCTGAAATCCCAAAGTTGATAAGCTGTCTAACGAGTTTTTTTACTGTCTGTTTTATATTCTTAAGGATGGTAAAATTAGAAAAATATTAGATTTCCTAAAGAAAGGCAAAACAGGGTTTAGGGCCAAACATTTAATTTAACATTTAACTCATGAAAGATCATTATATAATTTTGGAATTTACGTACTAATCTCAAATTGGCATTATTAGCATTCATATTTTTGATTCTAGTTACCTTGATATCATCAATGAGCGTCTGGTTTTCCGCAACATCTGGGTGAATGGCAATAAGAAGTTCTTCATAGCCATTGCTCACTAGGTCCAACGGCCACTTGTTGGCCACGGAGGCATGACATTCAATTGTGCATACGAAGAGGCATATGGTCCTCAATATCCATTGATTTTGACGCATCATTACTTTTGGTGGCGACACAATGTGACGCTGAAGGATGTATGATCAACAATTTGACAGTCCAATGAATGACGTAGGGAAAGTCCTATTCATTGCACTTTGGAAACTATTTGGACTTTCGTCACGTGACTTTAATAATAAATTAACAAATATCATTCTAGCATTGGACAAATACCCATTTCCCGTGTTATTCTGACTTGTATTTGCCATGGAACAATGCGCATTTTGATTGGATAAACGTGTTCCTGCTTTTCAAAACTGTCGTCTTTTCTAGCCTAAAGAAATAATAAATATTAATGTTTCTTTTGGCAAGTAGTTAACAAACTTTAGTTCTATTTTAAAATTATTCTCCATTTAAACATTTTCTATAGTTATTTGTAATGGATATCCTATGATTGATGAATGATATGATTTTTATCCACAATGCATATGGATATAGGAACGAGAACAGTGAAAGTGCAGATGTAAAAATTAAACCATATTTACTGGGAATACTAGCCCAAGATATTTCACACCTTCAATTTATTATCCAATTAAATTGGTTTTGACCATATAGGGAATGCTAAAGAGTAAATTTATGATAAATCATGCATGTTGCCCTATCAATGTTTTGCGAGAATGTATTGCTAGATCCCCTCTTAAAAATCAATGAAAGATACACTATACAAAAACAACACAACCCCAATTGCAATAAAACCAATTTTTAAACTTTGAAAAAATCTCACATTTGCTAGTACGTCTTTAAAGTACACTCCCCTCCATTAGTTTGGCAAACGGAAGTAGTTTTCATAGGATGCACATAATCATAGGCAGTACATCTTTATATTGTTCCTTAATTACAGTTGTTTGGATTTTTGAACAAATTTTATAAAAAAAATCGCAAAGCACAGACTTAGATATATGATCAAAAACTGGGCCCAAAAATATAAGGCCCCAAAAGTGGGCCTTTTTGGTCATAACTGGGCCTTTTAAGGCCTTATTGTTTAATTTCAGGCCAAATATTGAAGAAAATGGGCCACAAAATTTCAAAATTTGGGCCCACTTTTGGGTTTTGGGTACCCAAAACCTAGAACGGCCTTGTTGGTTCCCAGATCCGCCCCTGTATGTTATATCAGGCAAGTGGTATTTGTGTCAATGTTTCTACAAATGAAATATAAAATATATGAGATATTGATAAGACTATATGCGAAATTAATGTGATTTGTTAATATTTACTAATAATGTATGATTCCCTTGTACCTTAATAAATCGGGCAATTATTTACTCAGAAGTCGAGAACTATCCCTAGATGACCATAATTTTCGCGTGTAAGTTCTCTTTGCCTCGCTATTCTTGCCTTAACGTTAATGCATATTATAACATATTACATAATACATGTAGACATTATACAAAAGTTACTTACAAAATGACACATACATGAGTATAATGTGTAGAAGCAAAGTTACAGTATAAGTAAAAACTGAATTAGGCTTTTGAATTAGTGAAATGTGATCGCATTGGATATAAGCCAGAGCAACCAAGGAGTTCATCACAAAATGATGATTGATGGTGTACATGTATGTTTAGGTTATCAGCAGATATAACTTATAGTATTAGATATAAATTTGACGTAGACGTCCAGTTTCATACTTCAGCATGGGTTCAAAGGACAGCCAGCGATTTCTAGACTTAGATCAACGTACGTTCAGACCACCGATGTACGAGTAATAGATTGTATAGACAATTAGCTGTGTCAACAATAACAAACAATGCCCGTGCCTTCAATTGAGGTAAGTATTTACTACCATCATTCAGTCGGTGAGTGCCAATAAAGTTTGTACTCTGTACCTCTACAAGTACAATGTCACAAACAGACTTACTTAAGTATTAAGGTTCACATAAAGGGGGGTTTGACTCCACGTTATTGGAAAGTAATCATTGTAGAATAAAAGGTGAAATTATTATGTTGTGCATTATGCTTACATGATAAAGAATTATACATAGTTTACCATATTATATAGTAAATCGTCACTTATATCTAGAAATTTTTGTTTTAAATATGGGGTTTCCATGTTATTTACCAGGAAGCTGCTCCAAACGTGCCGAAGTTAAGAGAAATATTCTTGGCCAAATACGAGGGTAAGGATTTTATAAAATTGCAATTCATTTTCACTTTGTTTCAGCAGTATGAATTAAACCTAATTGTATAAAACTCTGAACGCTACAGGGACCGGCCAAAAATGTTGGGAATAGCAGGTGCCACAATATCAAGGTTTCTTTATATGTGATTAAATGGGAACTTGATCTCATATCGGTTCTTCCTCCGGTTAAAAACTGGGTATTCCTTGTTGAAAATATGAAAAGTCTCCATTATGAGACAACATACAGGGCAATAAAAGCACAAAATAATGCTATGTAAACAAAAAGGGTTGATTTAGTCCACCGGGTGTCAGTCACCCCCCCCCCGTGACTGACACGTGATTCCCGGTGATTTAGTCAGACCAATTGGTCTATATAGGGGGGGGGGTGACCGACACGTGACTCCCCGTGATTTAGTCAGACCAATTGGTCTATATAGGGGGGGGGTGACTGACACGTGACTCTCCGTGATTTAGTCTAATTTATATCTTCCATGTAAAAATAATTTTATGTAAAGATGGCAGTGCATTCAATCTGTAAAGAAGCTCTACCACTGCTGCCACCTTTATATAAAGCAGATATTTTCTCTTCAGATGAAATAAAAAAGGAACAGTATTACGACGAAGATATCCAGAGGGTTAAGGAGAGTGATGCGTATATGAGATGTTTCCTCCGAACTGTCACTGCCAGCAACGACCCTCACAAAGCTGCAGACGTCATCGATATGGCTCTCAAATGGAGGAAAGAATTCAAAATATATGGTACCAATTTAATCTCAAATAATCTTGGTTTAGAAATGAAAACGAACAATATACTCACGCTGAAGCCTATATCTTAATACATGTTGTTTTGTGTTTGTTTTTCCATATGTTATTCTAGACCTATCTCTGAAGTTATGTATTTTCTTGTTTAATGTTATTCTAGACTTGTCAATGGACACGTTTCCTGAAGAGTTGAGGGAGAAATACATGGATAAAGTCATTGGCTACAAGAACCAAGACAAAGAAGGGCACAAAATATGTGAGCTTTGAATATTTTTACAATTCCGACCGGGAATGGCCTTTTATATTTTTTAAGAAAAAAAGGACGGTGTTTTATTCCAAGCTGAAAATATGTGAGCCTGGAATCTTTTTACTGTTAACAAAACATGTGAAATGATCCAATATCTTTAAGTCTGTTTCATCTTACATTGCTTTCCTTGTAAAATACATTTTCTTGTACCCTGATAATAGCCTCTTTAACCAATTCTCTTATTTTAGTGTATTTTGACATATCAGAGAACAACAAAGATCCAGAGGCGATGAAATTCAAGCATCACGCTATCGTGGCAGCGTTCGAATCCCACCACCGACTGACACCAGAGGAACAAGTCGTTGTCCTTTTTGACTGCTCACGGGCTACTTTGGCAAACAATGTAAGTGGTTCTTAAATGGATGCTATTAGTGCTGCAATTACTAAATAGGCTCTTCGGCATCATTTGGGTAATTCTGTCAGTGACTATGTATCTCACCCTAGGCGAAGTGATATGCGCGGAACTGAGTTAAGAAAAGATGATCATGCCAAAATTAGATAAATGTACAACAATGTTTCCCAACTCGATTCCGCACACATCACTCCGCCAACTGCTCTTGAAAATCATATGCAAGAGCCGGAGCCAGAATGTGTCAAATATAAAAAGAATTAAAATACAAACTGGGACAATATGTCCAGGGGGGACAATACACGAAGTCTCTTCCAAATGTGGTCTGTGTATTCACGAATATTTTGTGCTTGAATTTCAGGACATGGATATGCTTAAGTTTGTGATTCAGTGTTTCAAATATTACTTCCCTGCTTTCCTAGGTAAGCATGCAAATAGTTTTTTCCTACCAAAATCAATATAAACATAATTTGGATTTTTCGGAAACATGTTTAACTCAAACGTATAATAAGAAAATCCATGACTTGGCTCGTATACGTGACACGTGATATTGTGATATATTGATACGAGTAATGTGCCGTATTGTCTCTTTCAGATAAAATGATTGTCTACGAAACGCCAAAGGTCCTGAGCTGTAAGTGACTCATACGATTGCTGTTTTTTTAAAATATTCGAAACATCAAACAAAACTTTAGTTTTTTCGGATCACATACACAAAAATAACTAAAAACTATGATTATTGTTTTCAGTTATATGGACGATTATCAAGAAGTTTCTGAATGCCGAGCAAGCCAAGAAAGTTGTCTTCTGCAATAAAAATGAGATTAAAAACTATATAAGTGAGGAAAATCTCTGGGATCACATGCAATAGATGAGGACAATGACTAGTGATGTGCGTTGTTGGAATACTTTTCAAAATAAAATTTATTGCGTAAATAACTGTACAATTGTGATAGCAAGTTTTACCAAAAAGTAATGTTGAAATCACATCTAAGATATTAACAATTTGTGACTAATGTAACCGGCCACAATCCGAATTCAGCAAGTTATTTCATCATTTGAAGCTATGTAAAATGACTTGAGATTCATTTAACTTGTTTTGATTTCATGATTGAATCACAGGCATGGGCAGACACGTCCCAAAGTCGTCCCTCTTTGGCCTCAGTATCACATTAGTCAATCATGTTTCACAAATAAATAAATTGAAAGTACTAATATTGTCTCTCTAATTTGTGTATGTATTAAAGTGTTTCAATTCGTTTGCGCCAGAGAGTGTACATGTAGCAGGCCACTTTTGTTATAAGAACTACTGCAATCCTGTTTTCATAACCCCTATACGTCAGTTCTTTTTTGCATAACTGGTATACGCCATGTCTTATCATGTCTGTTAAACACCATCACGTTCAACATAACTATTACACGTCAGTCTCGTTTTCATAACTGTTACACATCAGTGCCGTTTTATGTTGTACGTCAGCACTTTCTGTGTAATGGTTATACGTCAATATTGTTTTACAAATGGTGTGCGCCAGTCTTGATTTCATAACTGTAATACGTCAGTGCTATTTCAATAAATATACGCTATTTTTGTTTCTTGTAATGAGTCATAGTTGTATGCATAACTGTTGCAGTACAACAGCGATGTTTGCACGCAAGTCCTCTTTCCAAATTTGTAATACGTCAGCCTCGTTTTCATATCTGTTATTCGTCTGCACTTTCTGCCTAACCCTTGTAATATGTCAATGAAGTTTTTATGTATGTTATGTGCCTTTAACTGTCGCCAGTGGTGTTTGCAGATATTATATTTAAGCTTTTACGTATCACACAGACATATAATGTCAGTGTTCCCTCAACAACAGCTATTCGCTATGTGCTTCTTGGACAACAGCTATCAGTGTCAGTGTTCCTTCGACAACGACTATATACATGTATATGTATCGCTGTTTCTTCAACACAGCTCTATTCCAGTAACAGGTTCTTCAACATCTATAGGCCAGTACTGTTCATCGCAGTCAAGAGATCAGTCATATTACATGTGCAGTTGGCAGTTGGTGTTGGCATACGAAACTGAACCATCAAGACAAAGTAGGTCAGCAACATACCCACAATCTACAAAATATGCAAACAAGAATCATCCATCCTAAATTTGAACCACACCTACCTGATGCATAGCTGAAGATGTAAGAATTTTTCCAAGTATAAGTGTTAGACATATTATACTGATGATTTGTGGAGATGATACGTTGCTCAAAATATGCATTATTTCTAAAGAATAAGAATAAATTAGGGCTAAGGAATTGAAATTTCATAAAAACGGGTTTAAAGGAAAGAATGATCTATCTACAAATGCTGATAACCACCTACTGTTAATATTGTTGGTTTGTTGATGATGAACATGTCAAGGGCGGTGAATCCGATGGAGGTGCCGGTAAGCTTATTCATGAACATGTTGATCTGAAGTTGTCGCTCTCCGGAGCAGTTATTCACCCGTATGCTATAGATATCCGCAAGAGGAGCATGGGCCTGAAGACAGAAATGACAAATACAAATAATACATTCACTGGTGATCCACTCGATTACGCTGATTACCGAAACGGAAACATGTCGGAACATAGAAGCTACGATTTTTCTTTTTTCCTTATTTCACACCTTGTAAGCAGAATTCTCACGACATTTTCGACACAAACGTGTATCAGTAACAAATATTTAAGAAAATGTACACATTTGCGAACAAATAGTTCAGAAGACAACAGAATCGTCGATTTAATTCCTCACTTAAGTTACAGAAACGGTCTGGGTTAAAAGTGCAGATCTTAACTGTTTTTCGAAATACCATACCGTTTCTGTAACTAAAGTGAGGAATTAAATCGACGATTCTGTTGTTTTCTGAGCTATTTTTCGCAAACATGTACATTTTCTAAAACATATGATACTGATACAAGTTTGTGAGAAAAAACGTCATGGGAATTCTGCCAACAACGCGTGAAATAGGGAAAAAAGAAAAATCGTAAATTGGACGTTCCCACAATGTGTTACCGAAACGAACTCAAAATTTGATGAATAAAATATGCACCTTTATATATGGATATTCATTCCCCTCGAAATGGTTGGCAGCCTTGACACTCCAGAAGATTGAGTGTTTTGTTTAGATTTGGATCTTTTCATTTGAATGAGATTGGGATTTATTGAAAAGGAATACATGGAATACTGTAACGATTGTATATAAACATCCCTAAGATCACATCGATTTTTGAAAAGGCCAATATCCTTTATCACACTACCCTACCACGTGACCACGTTTAAAAGGGAAACAAGGTACAGTTAAGTTGCAAATGGAGGACGTAATTTCTGAACGTAAAATAAATTTTACATTTATTCCTGCTATCTAACAAAAACACCAGTTAACTGTTATTTATACTGCGTGTCATTGTGTTATATGAATATACGTTTTTGTATGTTATTCAACTGTTTTTTTAATCAATTGTTTTTCTAAAATCTTCAGATGAATAAAAAGTCCCAGAAATGTATCTTTACTTTGCCGTGGGGCAGAAATATTGTAAACAGTTTTTCTCTTGAAAATGGCAGCAATAATCATGTGCGAATTTTTTTAATTTAAATCCATTGTTGCAGCGACCCACCATGTGTTACGCGGTAAACGTGATACAAATATATGCCATATCCCACAATGAATATGCCATATTCACTTGCCGTGTATTCCAGATTCACCTGCGGTATATGGCATACACACTAACCAATGAGAACGCGATACGGAAGTACGCAATTGTCAATGACATCGATTCAACGAACGTGCTAACGTCTATAAATTATTGTTATAATGTTACATGCAAAAACAGACTTCAAGGGAAACAATATGACGCATAAATAAACGAACCTTTTATAACCATATCAAAACCATAACATGTAATAAACGTACTTAATCAATCCAGGATTCATTTGTATAAGTACTCGAAGAGTTAACTATATATTGGTAATCTAGCGTAGTTTTACATTTAGAATCAATTCTTTCGACCAATCAAATCGAGGCTTTCTGTATCGCGTTTTCATCTGCGGTATATGGCGTTTTCTGCAGTTGAGTATGCCATATTCAACAGGAGAGTATGACATATTCCGCAGTGGGATATCTGGTATTCACTGAAATCAATGTATCGCATATTCTCTGCGGAATATGACATACCTGCGGAATATGTCATATACCGCAGGTGAGTATGGCATATTCACCTGTATCACAAGTATCGCACAACCATGAATATATGCCATACTCCGCGTAACAGAGATCTCCAACAAGTGATAATAAATACAGTTTAAAAGTTAAAAATGATTTGCATTTGAACGTTACATCCCATATTTGGAGCATTTTGACAAATACCCTACAAAACAAAATACAATACAATACAATACAATTTATATCGAAAGCTATCTAATATCACACTGCGGGCGTATAGAGGTGCGCAATAAATGTTGACGTAATCAAACACTTTGTACGTTATACGTTATACGGGAATAATAAACATGCTATAGTGAGTTGCAAATATTCTCTAACGTCATTTCTAAAATAAGTTGTTTGGCATGTTACCATTTTGGGTATATTTGCAAACTTTATGGACGAATTCAAACGGGTAGGTCCACCAGAACTTATAGCGTGCTCAAAATTTTCTGGCGACCACCAATTGCAAACGGGTTTAAAACTGATTAAAGACGTATAGAAAGACGTATGAAATATAGCTATCTCACAAAACTAGTTAATGACGTTCTTCAAACGAGATGACCTACTAGACTAGGAACGTAATTGCCGTACTTCGACCCTACTCAGTGGCGTAGGAACAATGTACGCCAAAACGCCAGTGCGTAGTGTTGAAAAGTGAGAATAAAAAAGACTTTTTAACTTTCCTATGTTCTTTAGTCATATTTTCTCATTGTTTAAATTGTAAAAGTAATCTCGAGCACACTAGCCTAAAGAAATGTTTTGTGGATACCATATCATTATTGGTCTGTCTGGCAAATATCATTTAACAGATTGAATTCCCTTACCAACATGCTTTATTTCATGAAAATCGAGCCACTATTGACTGTCTTATAAATACAATTTCGCCAAATATTCGTGAATCGCGTTCTCTTCACGAATTTGAGAGGAAAGCTGTTTTTTTTTCAAAAACTACTTGATGAATACCTTTGACATTTTTTCTGCATTTTCCGTAATGCTTATGCTAACTATGGTATCATATAATTATAATGATGAACCTCTTTAAATTTAGATGTATATTTTTTTTATTCTCCCCTACCCCAATTTTTCAATTTCACTATCGATTTATATTCCGTTGCTATGCAAAATCATAGACACGAAATTATAGTTAAGTCAACAATTATCTATTTTCTTATTAAATCACTAATTGTTATTGGTAGTACTTTTTGAAATATGGATGTTAAAGACAAAAACAACTTGAAAATGCTGATTATTCAATTACACGTTCCATTGATTTCAGTTCTAGAAAAGCGATAACCTAGTTTTTTTTCATTTGACAAATAATAGATTCTTGTTTTATAACATTTTTTGGCATCCCCTAAGTCACGTTGACCTCGATTTGACCTTTGTGGTGGGTGTATTTATTTGTTTCATTGATCACGAATGCGTTTCTTTATATCAATTGATCAAACTAGTTTCTTTAATCTGTACGTATTGTATCGCACGGTACACGATGGAATCCGACAATACTATATATCTTCAGATCTTAATTCAATTATTCGAAAATGATTAAAAAATCTCTAATTGTTTTTTTGGAAATTGGTCGTCTCAATCGTTCGAGATATTAGCAAAGTGAGAATGATTTGTGTCGAGATTTAAAAGATAGGCTTTCCAAGGTGATTTTAAATGATGAAAATCATTCGAACATTTTAAAGCACATTAAAAAGGTATCGGGGATTTAAAGCTTGCATATGAAATCGAAACGCCAACCTATACGTATGACCAATCGCCCATACAAATGCATCGCTTAAGTATTTCCGTTCACATTTAGGTTGTGAATATTGCAAGCTTGAAATCTCTGTTACCATAAAATGACGTTTTACGAGCATAATATAGGCGTTTTGATATAGAATATTGACACAATTGTTTCATATTTTTTTGGCGGGATTTTTGGCGTAGTGTTGAATTTACACCTTCCTACGCCCCTGCTACTAGAGACGCGTTAACGACGTTGTCCAATCGGCTATCAATTGCAGTACGTGTACACACCGACATTGTGCGACCTGAACGAACTGCCAATGAGATGTACGTATTGATGACTGTTTATGAACGAAGTAGCTAATTAGTTTAGACGTAATCCCGACCACAGTCAGATTTAGCCCCTTTTAGCCCTTTTGTAGGACTGGAAATAACGGTTGAGAATTAGTTTGGTGTGATAAGGGTGTTATGTTGTGGAGTAATGTTTCCTGGTCGCATCTGGTTTGGCTTTTACTGTTGTTCCCTGAAGATTTTGAATAAAGAAACATGTTATGAAGTGTTTCATTCTTACCTGATCGTTGACAACTGCGCCTATGTACGAAACAACGCATGTCTGAAAGGTAACTGTACCAGCCCAGAGAAAGTTCAAAAGCACTTGGGAAAGGTGAAGATGGCTATAGATCAAGTTGTATAGAACGATACAAAACAATGGCAAGTTCGTGCAGTAGACATTTGCAATGAACAGTTTATATATACTATCAGAGCGTTCAACCAGTTTACAAATCTGTTGATGCCGGATTCTAAGTTCTTCCAAATTAGCGCTAAATATTCCATCTTCCCCAATTGCTGCACAGAAGTCATCTTGGACGAGTTTGAATTCTTGATAGAGGAGAATACATATCATGAAATACAAACCCCCGGGCAACAAGGAAAGGTTGGAATTGAGATAATGAAAGAATATGTTCATAATTCGAAAAATCTCCGCACCAGGCGTGTCCCTTGTGAGAGGGGCGAGTGCCTCGTCAAAATATTCTTGTAATGATGTTGGGCCATAGATTGCAATACAAACGAGAACGACGTTGAATACTGTGAATGCCCAACAATTCAAAAGAACATGCCGCATGATTCCTTTCACTGTTTTTTCGTAGCGTGTAATAGTGGCGTCACCGGTGATGCGGTCCCATTCGATGAACAAGTCATAGAATTTATCTTTATGGTAGCAACAGTACCACATGTTCCAGGCTTTAATTGAACATTCTAACCACCAGACAATTATGGAACATTTAAAGAACATAGTATCATCAAGATCTTTCACGTCAGTGAACGCTGAAATGAATCGTAGGAAATTGAACGTTACCACTAAAGCCAAAACTAGACTGTAGATCTGCATTTTCGTAAACTTGTTCTTAATGTTGCCATTAGCGTCCTTTTTAAACCGTTTAGTGTAAAATATTCCAGCAACATGCAGAGAGAACATGAGAGGTCGAAGAAGTTTATAGATTCGGGTATCTTGTATCTGCCTATAATCACCATCCATTTTAGATGTGACATTTGCGAAAATTTTAACTGTATTCCATCTTTTCCTGTTGGTAGGGGATACTGCAGATTTAGGTCGACCATCGGTATCTGCCGCATCACGCAAGTGATCTTTCGCACTTGACTTCCCCTCTTCTTGTATTTTCGGCTCTTCATCAAAATCCGAGACTTCATCAAGAACAACAACTGGATTTGGTTTGCTGAATCTGTTCTGAACATTTGCTTCGTTCACTAGGATGACTGTGTCAGATACTTTGTTGTTCTTCATTTTTGAGTCCATGTATGAATATGATTGCTGAATTATCAGTAAGACTTACGTCTCGTTAGACTCTTCTTGAGACGCTTTGAACCACGCAGAAAATAAGGCAATGTGCAATTTACATGGATTCGCAATCTCTACTTGTTATGAAAAATTTTGATTCATTGGGTGGGATATAACACTCCAAGACAAAAGATATATATGTCTATTGATACAAGTAAAACAATGGACAAATGGAACATCTTTTGTAAACCTTTGATTAATTATGTCGGTTATGCTTTGTAATAGTTAAGTTATAAAAGTTTTGAAGATATGCTCTATTTTCCTTTAATTGAGCAAAGTATTGTATATCGAGTTATAGAGTGAATGTACGATATGTACCCCCTGTGAGTATAATTTAGACTTTTTTGTTTATGTTGATTTTAATTCTGACCTTCAGGACTGCCAATAGATGGCGCCATGCAGCAGGTTGTTTTGATACTTCAGTTTCTTGTCCTTGAAACTGATGTAAAAGATACATCAAAACTAACAAAGATCATATTGATATTGCCAATAAAACATTTAATATTAAATTTAACAGTGAAACGTTTCATAAGAACAATACTTTTATGAATTTTGATTTTTGGTTTAACCCTTTCCCGACGTGAATATAAGAGGAAAATGTTGGCCCTGGTGACGGATAAGTAAGAGCAGTTTTTAGGGGAAAACTGAAAATTACCTATGCCCAGGGACCTATACCTTGAATTTTATCACTGAAATACATTTTTTAGTAAGGACTATCGTATTAGAACAACTTGTCAAAATTTGGTGTAAAAATACTGAATAGAACTGGAGATATTATAATTTCATCGATGTATATAAATAAAAATTATGGTGCCAAAAGGAGCCTATCGTCCTGAAAGGTATTTAACAGATATAAGAAAGACAAAAAACGACTAAGTTGACCATATTTGGAGCCACACCTACAATACCACACCGCACTCGATTGATCACGAGATCTATAATGTTCCCGATAATGTTGTCATGAGTGGTGCAATGATTGTTTCTCACCGAAGAATCAATGTTTGTTTGCATGTAACATGAGATATATTCACTTGCAATTGTTAACATCATATCGATTGTATTGATTCGAGAGACATGTGTTTTTCAGCACACGGCACTTACTTACCTGAATTAATACAAAAACAATGCGTAGGGTCAAATGGACGCATATAATCAATCACTTACGTAGTTCGCTGAACTTCATAAATATCTAATTATTATAGAGGATCCGTAAAAGTGTCAACGCTTTCAATAGAGATCTTTAGATCATTTCGACATATCATAATGATTTTGTTTTGTTTACCACCGATTTCGGTGAGCAATTCCATTTGGGTCGATGCTTTGAATCATAGAAAACAGACCCATGTACGTATCCCTCCTCGAGGGAGCCTTTCGTTTTCAAATTTTGTAATGAATTCAACATTTAAAACAAAACGTAAGGGAGGCTGATATAAAAATCAACACCGGTCAATTTCATAATTTCAATATAGATCATTATGTTGTGATTTTTGTATTTTTTATTAAGTTATGTATGGTATTGTAAGATGTTCTCATGATCATTCGACCAAATTCAAATCATTCATTACACACATATCCGTTTGATAAAATCCATGATACATGTATCAGTGATATCAAATCAATAGATGGCGTAACATGCGTCAGGTTGTTTTGATATTTCCATTTCTTGTCCTTAAAATCCATGATATCAGTGATATCAATTAATCAAATAGGAGGCGATAATCTTAACCAAACGATGCATGAATGAGTTCAGAATAAACTTCATTTTTAAGAATGGGCAAAACATTATGATAAACCGGTGGGGGTCGACAAGTACAACCACCCTGGCATTCTGGATAGACACGGGATGGCACAATTATTGTAATTATTGATCTTTTTCAAGGATATTCACAATAGGATAACTTAATTAAACTCACCATGCTTCCGATTGATTATTTGGTGATTTATTATTTCCAAAATTGATCAAATGAGCATGTCGTCTCTATTTATAGACAATGGAATCAAGTGCGTTAGAAATCTTTGGTGCATGGTTACAGTCATATCTGAAGATTCTTCATTGAAGAAGAAAACGCCCTTCACCGGTATTGTTTCAAAATCCGTACTTTGAGCTTAAACATATATTTTGGCTTGGGACATAAATTAGCACGACACGGCACCCTTTGATCTCCTCCATAAAATGGCTACCTGGTGATTTTAATAAAAGCCCAGCTTGAAATAATATATCGACGCACACTAAATTATAATACTGAAACAATTAGAATTCTATGGAATGAATTCAACGAAAAAGCTCCTTACCGAACGGTGAGTTACCCTACCCCATTTTACTTGATCTTCGAAATACATTTTGATAATAAATTAACGAAAAAACATTTTGTAATAACGACTAATCAACGACCTCCAAAACATTACTATTATAAAGACTAGAAAGATTAGAAAGAATAAGGATAAATTTAAAGGCCACGTGGTAAATTGATTTGGGATGATGGGTCATCTGCTCATATTTCATAATGCCACTCTTGCCCCTGATTTAGTATACGGGAAACAATTGTAAAGCTAAAGCAATAAAGAGGAAGCAATTTTGGCCCAAATTTGTCAAATGTGAATGTGAGCCCTGCGGCCCCCTCTAGATTATTTTTGAAAAGGTGATCCATTTTGTTATAAAGACTAGCGTTACGTCTTTATAACCAGGTGAGGACTAGCGATATAATCTCCAGTCATCATGATTTCTTACACGGGGCCCAGCATATAATAAGCTTAATCAGGCCTTCAAGACTTCCAACAACGCTAACATCAGTTCTGACCTCGCGAACTACGTTCCTTGCACTCCAACCACGATTCTAACATCGCTAACGTGAAATCTTTACTTGCGCATTTCCACGCTCCCGAACAAATTTCTCTACTCGCGCACAGAGATCCATGCTCGCGAACAATTTGTACATAGTGCATCCGTGTATTTGGAATTCCGAGTTATATGGAGCTTGAAGATGCTGTTATCTTCAATTATTAGATATGACATGACATGAAAAACTGAAAATGTATTTCTTCTGAATTTCAAATAAAACACTTCGTTGGAATATTAACTTAAGCATAATAATACAAATAAAATTACTGCCTTTTTTCGATCTGCGGCCTCATTATCAGTTGGTCGAAAAATTATTATCAGTTGAGCGCAATCGCAGACGCAAAGCAAACGCAAAACAATAGGGACGCAAATTAGCGGACGGGAAGTTCAAATCGTCCAATTTTAAATACACACACTATCACAATTATAATTCTCTGATTGAATTCTTAGACGTATTCCAAATGAACGCGCGAACTCCTATGCAGTGTCTCGGTATAGACACATATCACTGCACGGGAGTTCGATGAACGCGTTGTTCGTTGATCATGGCCATAGGTGGACAATGTCTGCGACAATAAACTCATGGTTACAGACTGCTAAAGCAAAGAAGCAGCTCAAAATAGAAATGTTTATTTTTAAAAGCTTTAGTACCGAATACAAAGTTGCCTATCTCGATGTACAAGTACCACAAGTACAATGGAAAATTCATGAAAAGGATCTGGAAAGATTTGGAAATATTCTCGTTATTGACAGTATTTTTTATTTCCGTTTGAACGTTGCCGGCATCCACACCCGGTGAATTTTTTGAGCATGCACAAAACTTTTTCCGTTTGAATAGCGTTAGATCGCGAACGGTGATAGCGGTACGGGAATGGTATAAGAACGATGCGGCCGTTAAGGACACGTTCGTAGTGCGGTGATGGGACGATGGTTGACGTTGACTCTATCAGTGACTGAAATATTTGTTCACTTGCGTTCAGAAAATCTATAATCTTGCGTCAGAACTACGTTGAGTCAAAGTGGTAATATGCTTTTTTGGAAATATACGCGCTGCGATGCGTTCCGTGGCGTTATGCATGCGATTCTGCGTTGCGATCAACTGATAATGAAGCCTCGTGTGTGTGTTTCGCGAGCACGGATCTCTGTACGTGAGTAGAGAAACATGTTCGGAAGCGAGGAAATGGTGGTGCGCGAGTAAAGATTTCACGTTCGCGATGTTAGAATCGTGGTTAGAGTGCAAGGAACGTAGTTCGCGAGGTCAGAACTGATGTTCGCGTTGGTGGAAGTCTTGGAGGCCTGTTAATAGGTTTCTAGAATATGGAATTCAGAGCAATACAAAATTGCATGTGCCTACCTCGTTGTTCACAACAGCGCCTATATAAGATACGAGGGCTGTCTGGAAAGTCACCGTACCAGCCCAGAGTAAATTAAGCAAGATTTGAGAGATGTGTAGTCCGTTATAAATGAGATTGTACAGAACTATGCAAAACAAGGGGATGTTCGTTGTGTAGACGTTGGCAATATAGAGTCCATATATCGAATCCGCTCTTTCCACTAACTTGCAGATTTTCTGATGACGTATTCTCAACTCTTCCAAATCATCCGTAAATGTTCCATCATGGCCAATAGCCGAGCAAAAATCTTTATGAATGTATTTGAATTCTTGGTAAAGCAGAAAACATATCATTACGTAGAGTCCACCAGGAAAGAGAGCATAATTTGAGTGGATACCGTGGATCACAATGTTCACAGCTCTGAAAAAATCTGCCCCCGGTGATTCACTTGTCAGTGGGGCAAGCGCAGTATCAAAGTATCGTTGTAACTCTATGGTCGCCCCATAGATGGCGTAGCTAGCACCCACTACATTTAGGACAGTAAAGGCAATACAATTTACAATCACATGTTCCATAAGCTTCTTTGCTGGTTTTTCATACTTCTCCTGAGTTTCTGGAAGAGTATTTTTATCCCACTCTATGAAGAATGCGTGAAATTTATCTTCATTACAGCATGCAAAGTACAAATTCCATCCTTTGATAGAGCACTCTACCCACCAAACAAGAATGGAACACTTGAAAAAGAAAGTATCTCCCAAACCATCAAATTGTGCAAAAGCTGCCGCAAATCGTAAAAAATTCAGCGTGACAACAGAAGCAATGACAAAGTGGTATATTTGCATCAATGATATCTTATTTACTCTCTCGCCATTTTTGTTCCGTTTAAATTTCCTGATGAAGAATATAGCCACCAACCTTTGGCAGATCATAAGGGGCCTCAGTAAGGCATAGAGTCTCGTCTCTGTTAGGGATTCAAACTCATTTTTGTTTTCACCCACGGGGGTCTCGCATCGTTTCTCTCCTGTATATCCAGTCTCCTCATCAGTTGCTTGGCCATCCTTCGCTTCTTCAACGTTGATAATATTTCGCACTTTGGCGGAACGTTTTCTAAACAGTTTATTCATCGGCAAATAAATGAAGTCAACTTTTGATTATCACGCAAATTATTTACCAATGTGATTAAGCTTTGATTGCCTTGTCTCTCTAATAGACATGTATTTTGTTTTGAAACGAAAATCTATTTCTAATTAATTTCTTCATTATAGCTTATTGTACTCTATAAGAGCATATTATACCTGGTAATGGCATTCAAAGATCGTCAATGATTCGATCAAAAATATTGAACCTGTAGCTCTTGTATCAGTTGATTTATTACTGCCCAATTATGCTCTGTTGTTCCTATTGAACGACTGTTAAGATCTTATTTGATATACTACCGCAATACATCACGATGTGTGTGTATTTATGCTAAAAATTGATTGGAAGTTCAAAAATTAACAACATTTATAAGATTATGACGTTTTTCTATATGTTAAAAAAGAGAATCAAATTCCTCGCAAAACGATACTCAAATATTTTTTTTTTTTAAATCATATAAATATTAATATACTACTGTAACTATTTTAGCAATCATTTATACATGTTTGACGATTGAACAATTTTACTCCGACGAATTTGGAAGAAGTTATATTCGTTCTTACGAAATTAAATGACAGACAAAGAGAAAATGTTTATACCGGGAATGCGATCTGTTTTTTAAAGTTTGCTTATTTTTCAATATCTAATTTGGTATTATTAATTTAATGTTTTGTAATTATATCAATATCAAGGAGTTATAAATAAATTGAAATTGAAAAAAAAATGTTTAGATCTGAATTGTGGTCCTTTATCGCAGTAGTTCGGAAATTGATGACTTTGATTATTCTTTTTAAATCGCCAAACGTAAACACGCCTTGATATGATTTAAGTGCTCAAAATGTGAACTCAGGTTGCCAAACTTATCGAGGGGAGTGTAACTTGGTACCAAGCTTGTAGCCTATTTCCTGTGTGTATCCAAGTAACGATTTGCGATCAATTTTGCTCAATGATTTTGTAATTGCTCTAACAATGAAACGTGGTGTTACAAACATCTTCAACAATATCAATATTGAAATCATATTTATTGAAATCTTTATTATATATACATATTCACTGTATCTACATATATTTACAATCAATTCATCAGGGCATGTACTCTGCACTTTGCAGGACAAACATTTAACTTCAGTCATAACAGTCCTTTATGTTTTGACCTGTGTCTAACAAAAAAGTAGTCCATTTATCTCGGAGGATATTTGTAGTTGTTTTACATAAATGTACTAAAACATAGTTCGGTAAAAATGTGCGTCGAGCTACTAATTGGTATTTCGGAAAAATATGATATAGCCTCATGCATATGATGGTTGACTCTATAAACATTCACCAGCCGTAATACTCCAAAACAAAATGATCCACTCCTAAACATGAGATTCAATGTACGGTAGATGATACTGTGCATGAAAAGTAGTTCCTCATTTGCGATAATAATGGGGAAAAAGAGCACATGGGATAAAATGTTGATGTTCGAAACATTACCTTACAAAATATATGGCTCTGAATCATAAAACACCATCAGACTATAGTAAACCATAGTATAAAACTATGAACATAATGATGAAGGGACGTGTATGGACATCATAATTATTCGGGGATCGCTGTAAACTCAATGCATATGATATTCTGGGTATTACGACCCAGTAGTGACATCTTTTAACAATAACAAGATTTGTTGATTCAATTTTGTAGGTCGTCAATCATAAATATCAAGGTTAAAATTACATAAATCTCCACAAAAGTTGAAGTGAAAGTATTGATAGAATGGACGGAACGATGGATGAATGTAATGCTTGCTGGCCACTGCTATATTCTCCTATAAGAACACTTCGCCAGAGGGCCACTTCGGGAGATTTGTCATCGAATGGGACGCCTAACTCTTTAGATCGCTTCATCGCCCAATCTAGTCCAAGGCTATAGTAATCTGCAGCAGCAAGTATCGCCCATACGGCTGAAAAGAAAAATTAAAAAAACGTCATTGAACCGCGATCATCAGATAAAAAAGAAGAACTTATTGGTTATCTCAAAACCTCAAAGACTTCAAGAGTTTTGTCCAAAGTCAATTGGACAGATATGTAGAATGATGATGCTATAAAAAGCGCCCATCGTATGAAAATATATACATTGCAAGTGATCATTCCATGGCGCTGGATTTATTTACAATACCACGAAGCATCGCGCGCCGAACTGGCTACAAATCCAGTGCTACGGAATGATCACTTGGAAGGAGTGTGCAGCAATTATGTGATTAAATATATTGAAAACAATTACAAACGACTTGATGCAAATAAATTACTGTCCCTAAGATTTAACATTTTGGATTGGTACCTGCTCGTTTTCCCGTTCTGCAATGATAAAGTACTGGTCCTCTTTGAATGGCTTCCCTGCTGTCAGCTCTGTAGTTGTTCCATGTCTCGTTGGTAAAGCCAGTTTGGCCAACTGCATTAATATCACAGAAAAGATATAAATAATACATCAATAATCACTCAGTGCAGTGGCTAACATGGATGTAGCCAACAAAATCTCATTTTTGTAAACTTTTATTTAGAAATCCGCTATGCCAGGTCAATGTTGAAAGAACAGAGACATATATAAAACACAAAGAATGCAATAAATGTTGGCTTTTATTTACTGAGATTCAAATGAAGTGCTGGGAGAGGAAATTTCATCTTGAAATTAGAAACATTGACCGTGAATGTCAAATCAAATCAACTAATTTTCTAAAAAAGTTAACATAAATTATCCAAAATCTAGAGAAATAAAATAGAAAGTTAGAAAGTCTGACTACTTTCTCGGGAATATTCAATGCAAGTCAGAGTAAATAGTTCTCTTCTTCACTGAATTATACATAATTTCTCTCGGACTGTACTGAAGGACTATACCTTGCTGAGATCGAGATATCCCACATACCTGTTGGATGATGGTAGTATTTAACACCAGTGTAGAAATCTTCGAATGTCTTTCTTTCTAGTTCTTCATTGTAACCAATGTCATCTCCAAACTCCAAAAGGTTCTTCATTTCATAATTAATGGGTGATAGTCTTGATATATATTGGTTTGAAATATTTGGATCTATTCGCGATGCCTCGAGTCTAGGCGTTGTTTGGCGTCCACCGTCCACATAGGTCCCTGTATTGTCTTTGATGTTCAGTAACGTCACCTCTTCTTGTGTTAGTGTTCCATCTAGAGAATATATATATATTATTCAACACGATCAAACAATTGCAAGTGATTCCAATGTTGTCTCGTTGGTAAAGCCATTTGCCCAACTACATTAATATCACAGAAAAGACGAATCAGTGCAGTGGTTAACATGGATGTGGCCAACAGAATCTCATTTTTGTAAACTTTTATTTAGAAATCCGCTATGTCAGGTCAATGTTGAAAGAACAGAGACATATATAAAACACAAAGAATGTAATTAATGTTGGCTTTTATTTAATGAGATTCAAATGAAGTGCTGGAAGAGGAATTGTAAGACTAACAAGTTAGTTGCCAACACAATGAAAACTAAAGCACTTATCTTCAATTCTAAAAGATCATTCAAATTTGAATTTAATGACCAAACTATAGAATGTGTCAAAGAATACAAATATTTAGGTCTCATTTTCACCAACAATAACATTTTGAACACCAAGTACCTTAAAGAACAACCAAAAAAGGCACTTTTTAAGATAAAGCAACAATATAAGAAGTTTAATGATGTACCACCGGATGTGGCTCTTCATCTGTTTAATGCATTAGTTAGTCCTATTTTATGCTATATGCACGTGAAATATGGTATTATAAAAAGCATATGAAGGCAACTGAGTCAATTCATTTGTCTTTAAAGTCAACATTAGGTGTTAAATCACAAACTGCAAGCCCTGCTGTATATGGTGACCTTAGTCCTAGGTAGATACCCATTATCAATCAAAATTGAATCTTACATTATAAAATACTTGAATGATTGAAAATGTTATGATATATAAGTCAATAAAAGTTTTATATATTACGGTTGATACTGAATTACTGATGGAGTGAAAGCCTTTATGTGACACGAGCATGGGCATACAGTTTAAATATCATAAGGATAGTACATGGCATCTGGGCATTATTAGTTTTTACCTGGTGCGGTTAGTCCCTTTCGAACATTGATGATTGAGCGGAAACCAGTGCTGTTTATATTGGCACCTGTGGTTGCGTAGATCTGTCCTGCCATAAAGATGTCCTTGTAGACAGGAGTCGCGTGCCAATAATGCCACCAGCCCTGACCCATGGGGATATCGGGAACAGTTACGTTGTCCGTCACGTTCCACCCTGTGACTTCAGACACAAGTTCTTTCAAAGCATTATCGCTGTAGTCAAAGCCGTGGATGGCTCCTATTTCAAACACATCATCTGGCTTGATCTTCGGTGTGAACTCAGGATCGTGTTTAGTTTTGTTGGCAAAGTAATTAAGAAGAGTAAATGTTGATGAGTATCCAACGCCGCAGTGAACAAGTGTTGGTTTGGGCATTTGGTCAGCGATGGCAGTGAACCGCTCAACGAGGCTTATGTCCTGCCAACTGTCCCCGGGCGATAACACAACAGCATAGGGCATCCCACATAAATTTTTAGCAATATACATGCACTCATCTGTCGTCGGGAATTCTTCAATAGCACTCGATTTTACACCGGCGGTGAAATTGAAGATCGATATGATCGACTTGAAGCCAGCTTCGTAGGTGTACTTTACTTGTCTGGCCGAGAGACGCCCAGCGGTGTAATAGTCGTCGGTGATGTGGTTAGCCCACCAGGTCTTCCGTTGGGGGAAGTTCCCCATAACCACTGTTACAAAAGCACTTAGGCTCAATAGTTTCGTAAAAAGCATGGCGTTCGTTGGTTTTTAAGTGTTTTTTGGTCCCTCTTATCTTGCTACACCTGAAATAATATTAAATTATGATTATAATATCACAGTTTTGTGTTATGATAGCCAGTGATGTGAAAACATACCAAACCTCTTATTCAGTATATATAATTTGTTTCTGGCATGCTAGCGTATCAAGTTGTGTTCGGAATGAATTTCGGAATGTACATGTATGTGCCAAAAGACCGCACATGCTTATTACTTTTTTGATCTGTTTGAATTTTTTTTTCATCGTGTTTCGAATATACACTCCCCGCCATAAATATGACAATCTTACGTTTTCATCGGATAACATAAAAGTCTCTCAATGCAATGTTTGCATCTTAGTTTTGTTCCCTAATTACTTCACGGTAGGGATTGTCATCACCTGACCTTCGCAGTTGATGGTGTCTGAACAAGATGTAAGATTTTCTCGATTAAGCAAGAAAAACGAATATTTTTCATATTTATACTTTGTTAAATGCTTCAAATCTCGCCCCACTTGTGCATACTATCTCAGTCTCTCTAATGAACCTAAATTTACTAACAGTGTTTCGAAAAATGATGGTGTCCAAACAACTTTAAAATTCTGTATGATGGTGTCTGTACAAATTTTTTTAAATACACTACTTGTATGGTAGTCCTCGTGTTTTCGTGTTTTAAGATTTTGTAAAACAATGAGTAATCCAAAAAGAAACTTCGGATTGCTAAACTCATGAAGGGGAGTGTATCTCGAGTGAACTATATGAAGGCAATTTAAGCTTTCTGATATAAGTCCAAAGAACTAATAATGCGATGATAGATACCAGCACAAATCGATGGCATCAGGATCTTTGGTGAAAATGAATTACCCAAACATCCACTCTCTGACCATTTGAAGCTGAGGACGGAGTATGGAAACCACGTTTTAGTTAAAAACATTTTTGTACTCAACTCATCTACTATTAGACTCTTGTCAATCTATTATGATTCAGTAATCATTGTATATGCAATAACAAACACGATATCAAAATAACACGACATACTTTCATTTATATCTGAACCTCAGATTCAGAGAGAGAAGACGAATTCGAAACCCTCTTTATTAGAAAAGCGGGATACAACTAATCATCAAAAAAGAACGAAAATCAATACAGTTAAAAAATAGTCAATTTTTTAAATCGTCAAAAAGAATATACACTTTTCCTCAAATGTTAGATCAGTATATGGAACCATGTTGTGAAATCAGGATTAAACCAATATACGAAAAGGGAAGCCAAATGTATGTCCTGAAACATCTTCGATTCCCAATGTGAAATTATTAGGAAGTTGAAGTCTTGACTCAAAATGTACAAAACCACACACTTGAATATCAAACAAAGGTTTTACAAAAGACCAATTGTTAATTTGTTATTTTAACTAAGAACAATAAAAACATCTTACCTTGTTCGTGCTTGTTTCCAACAAATGAGTTGACCTCTAAAATGAATACACGTTACACCCACAACACACTCAATGGACGCTTCTTAAGGAAGTATGACCCGATTATGGCCATCCGCCCATGAAACAACATAACGCCCAGTGAACAACTCACGCAATCAAGCTGTGTAGATCGTGTACTTAAAACGTTTTCATGATCCAAATCCCCGCGGTGACATCGGGTGGACCAGTGATCTTAGATAAGATGCTTATTACAATCCGTATTATTTCGAGTCTTAAAACATGCGTATAATATTAGGCTTATAAAATAAATAATTTTGATTCTAATTTGGATTCAGGAGGGGTTTTAACTGATATAGTTTTTATCAATTTTGAATTTTGTTATGGTCACATATTCTCCGATTTTCAGAACGGCACAAGCAGATGAGTATTCTATTCAAAATTACATTCAGTTTTTTATTTACTCAATACTCATCGGTCAGGCGCCGGTGTTGAAGATAGGAGCAAGACCACGGCATTAATGGCCATCGCCGATTGATGACGAAGCGTACAAAGATGATGATAAGATCTAACAACAACGCTTTTTTGAAATGTCTTAATATTAGGATATCCCTAGGATGAAGAAAATACTATTATTTTTGCATTTTGAACCTTAAATGACTTAACTATTTCATAAGGATGGGGATTTGGGAGAGGTGAATGACATTAGACTTAGGTTACGATTTTGTCACCCCTGTATATGTCTCTACCTTTCAATTGGAAAAGTCAAATTGGACACATCTATTGTATTCTAATATTTGGCACATTTGTTTCTGTTACAATAGAAAAACTGAATGTTATTTTGAACAAAACACTCAATCGGGGAAAATATGACCAACAAAAAGAAGATGATTTTTCTATTTAAAAAAGATCTAGCTATGAACAGACAAACCATGATTTACATTTTTCTGTCGGCCTCGTTCCTATGGTGAATCATGGTGTGACACGTCCACTTGATGTTTACATTAAAACGAGTTTGCCGTGTGAAATATTAACGCTCAGGTGAATTTCACAGCTGTACCTGTGATCACCATTGCATTTGCTTTATTATGTCGCTAAACAGCATTAAAAATTGGCCAGCAAAAGATGATTGCTGATTTAACGATGCCTTTGTTGTGGATGATCTTCTGGCATGTAAAATTGATTTCACGTCGTTCACATTGTACCGATTTAAAGCATCCAGAACCCAGAAGTGTTACGATTTTACTCCACATTGTAGTGTACCCATTGCCCACACTGTTATAAAAATATGTATACCAATTGGGTTTCCTCAGCCATATGAAATGTCAACAATGCACCATCCTCTTAGTGTCTTATATGTTTAATTTTGAAAAATGTCAAGGCTGGGGTTAACAAATGTTGTATTAATCGGATTTACTTCATCTTTGATCTAAAGCATACATGTGGTATGTAATACCTATTGATAATGGGATCTTGTTCCTTTGACTAAAATGGTGAAACAGGTACAAGGTGGAAGTGCGCATGCGTCATTAATGGCGGATGTTTTCTTCTCTCTTACGAAAATTAAATCATAATTACATCGATTACCTGCGCAATTCTAATTTATTCTCGATAAAACCTCCAGATTTTAATAACTTACATAGTTACTTCTAATAATCAACGACATTTAAATTATAGCAGGACCCCCTTTTGGGGATAAATCAGTTTTAATTTTCGTATTTTTCAAACTTCGGTTTTCGCGGTATTTTTCATATTTTTGCGCGAATTTTCTTATTTTCAGCTTACGGGTTTTACCTACCTCTTCGTCATGGGTTTCCAAGGATATGGATTGCTCCTTCTCTGCTTTGTTTTCGCAGTCCAGTCATTTTTCTGTGATCATGGAAACCACTTACCTTCAACAGAGTCATACACACAGTTGATGCAACTGCGACGTTTCCATAAGATTGTTGGCTCTCGTGGAATCCTTCACAAGAAATCTTCCACACCACTGCTCTTCCTATGTCTTATTCTTAGTGGTGACATCCACCCAAACCCAGGTCCTGTTAAATTTCCCTGCGGTATGTGCCACAAAGCAGTTGCCAAGAATCATCGCGCCCTTGAATGCGATGAATGCGGTACATGGGTACACATCAAATGTGGCAATGTTTCCCCTGCTGAGTACAATGTTTTTCTTGAAGCGGGCAGTTTCACTTGGATCTGTCCTGGATGTGCCCTACCTAATTTTTCCAACAGCTTCTTCAATGACTCCACTCTTTCTCATTCCTCGGTAACAAACTCCTTCAGCGCTCTCTCTGATCTTGACAATTCGTCATCATCATCTGATTCTACCGAATCAGAACCACCGAGGCCGACTGCACGAAAGAGGCGAAACCAGGTTCGCCTCATGTCTATCAACTTCCGCAGTCTAATTAGTCATGAGAAGCAACTACACCTTCAACAACTAATTGAAACCCACAAGCCAGATGTCATCATAGGCTGTGAGACTCACCTGGACAACACCATCGACAGCAAATGGATATTCGGTCAAGACTACCTTAGCCCACCTCCATACAGGAAAGACCGAAAGAAAGGTGCTGGCGGGGTCCTAATCGCAGTCAAAAGCGACTTCATATCAGTCGAATATGAAGCGACAGCTGATTGCGAAATCATATGGTCCAAAGCATCTCTATCAAATGGGGACATACTGTTTGGATCCTTCTATCGTCAACCAAACAACGATACTGGTGCTTTGGACTCGCTCCAAACATCCCTCGATAAACTTTATGCTAATGGTAATACACATATGAAAAACATCTTCCTATGTGGTGACTTCAACTTACCAGACATCGATTGGGAGAATGGAACTATAAGGCCTAATTCTCAATATTCTAATGATCTTAATGAGAAGATGATTACAATAACTGATGATCATGGCCTAACCCAACTAGTCAAGGAACCAACTAGACAAAATAACATCCTTGACTTAGTATTCACTACATGCCCAAACCTCGCAGAAAGAATCTCGGTGGTTCCGGGCATGAGTGATCACGAGGCAGTCCTATGTGATATAAACCTAAAAATGAAAATTCAGAAAAAGAAGCCTCGTAAGGTCCACATATACAAGCGGGCAGAATGGACTGGACTTAAAGAGACTCTACGATCTAAGTTCAGCGAATTCAAAGAGAACTGTGAAAGTAGATCAGTTGAAGACAACTGGTCCTCCTTCAAATCTACATTAATATCGTCAATCAATGAGCATATTCCAATTAAAACTCTAAGTGGGAAATTCAAAGTACCCTGGATTACCACCAGGATACTGAGAATGATCCGACAGACACAAAGACGATATAATGTTGCCAAACGTTCAAATGAACCTCATCATTGGCATAAATACAAATCACTACGGAAATTAATCCATAGTGAAATTCGTAAAGAACATCAGCGCTACATCAACGATCTGCTTGACATTGATGAAAGCGAAATCATAAATGAGAATGTTCAGCACAAAGGCATTACCAAACGCTTCTGGAGCTATATAAAGTCTAAACGCAAAGATGCATCAGATATCAGCGTGCTGCGTAACAAAGATGGCGACGAAATAACAGACGCCGCCCAGAAAGCAAACATCCTCAATGACCAATACAATTCTGTATTCACAGATGAGGATGCCACTCTACCGACAATGGTACCTAGTCAAATTCCTGAAATGCCAAATATCAAAATTTCGACAAAAGGAATTCACAAATTGCTAACTGGCCTAAATCCATCAAAAGCCACTGGACCCGATCTTATTCCGACTAGGGTCCTGAAGGAATGCAGTGACAGAATATCACCATTCCTTCAAATAATTTTTCAACAGTCTATCGATGAAGGCTTAGTGCCTTTGGACTGGAAACATGCCAATGTTACTGCTATCTACAAAAAGGGACGAAGAGATGAGGCTGTGAATTACAGGCCTGTATCTCTGACGTCAGTTCCATGTAAAATAATGGAACATATTATATTCCATCATGTTATGGCCCACTTTGACCTCTATGAAATTCTAGTAAAATTCCAACATGGATTCAGGTCAAAGCACTCATGTGAAACACAACTTGTCAATACAATAGAGAATATAGCTCGGGCCCTCGACAACAATAAACAAACAGACATGTTGGTATTAGACTTTTCCAAAGCGTTTGACACGGTGGCTCACGAACGCCTCTTGCTCAAACTCGACTATTATGGAATTCGCAATAATAACTTGAACTGGTTCAGATCCTGGCTTGTGGGAAGATCACAACAGGTAGTGCTCGATGGTGAATCAAGTTCAAAAACTCCAGTAAAATCAGGAGTTCCTCAAGGAACAGTTCTTGGACCACTCTGTTTCCTTGTTTATATCAATGATATGGGCAATAACCTATCATCCTCAGCCAGTCTTAAGCTTTTTGCCGACGACAGCCTTTTATTCATGACAGTCGAAACAAGCAAGATGCATTAACACTACAGGAGAATCTTGATAAACTGGTCTCCTGGGCATCAACATGGCAAATGAAATTCCATCCATCAAAATGCTATGTGCTAAATATTCACAAAGGTAAATCCCCTATCATGCACAATTACACCATGCTAGAGGAAAACCTTAAGTCGGTAACACACATCCCATACCTAGGAATTGACATCACAAATAACTTACGCTGGACTACACATATTCAAACTATTGTATCCAAAGCCAATAAGGTGCTTGGATTTCTCAGGCGCAACCTCCATCAATGCCCTGAAAAAGTGAAGGCTCAGGCGTATAAGTCACTAGTCCGGCCTAATTTAGAGTATGCCAGCTCGGCATGGGATCCATACCGACAAAAAGATATTGATATGTTGGAACAGGTACAGAGAAGAGCAGCCAGGTTTGTAACCAAATGTCACTCAAGGGAACCAGGCTGCGTCACCAAAGCTCTTCAAGACCTACAGTGGGAGCCACTGAAGGAGCGTCGAGAGGCTGCTAGAGTTTTCCTTTTCTACAAAGGAAAGCAGAACCTAGCAGCCATCGACGTGCCTCCATACTTCCGCCAACAGATCAATACCAACACTAGGTTGTATCATCCTTCTAAGTTCATACAACCATCAGCTGGAACGGACGCATACAAATTTAGCTATTTCCCTAGGACAATAGCTAAATGGAACACTCTACCTGGTGACATCTTAGACTGTGACAGTCTAAGTAGTTTTAAATCATCATACTATGCCTATGTCAATAACTGCAATTAAATAGGTGTGTTTTTAATATAGATCTATGTTTTAATGTAAAGGGTCCCCAGTGCACAGCAACAAGCCTGCACTACTGGTAAAAGGGGGTGATGTCAACGCGGTTAGCCTGACAGTCTCCCCAGGTAAAATGAGTTGTAAACCATAGATCTATTTTTAAATGTTAAGGTTTTAAATCATATTCTATTCAAATTCTATCACTGTTAAATTATATATCTGCTTTATATGGGCTTATTAGCCTTTTGCAGATTATTGACATAGACATAGTACAACAAATCAATAAGTCTCCGATTGAATCATACTGCATGATAAAATGGGTATGACAGTTGAGATCAAGATATTTTGTGGTTTCGGAATATTTTTGAAACTTAGTACCCCGGACATATTTGGGTATTATTTCTCTTTTACAGGGTGTGGCTTATTTTGAAGCTTAGAGGTTTTTATCTATAGACGTTTTTGAATTCCACAATAGAATCTGTTACATTTTACAATATGTGTCATGCATAAAATAAATTTTCAGTTTAGGAGGCGTGGATCATTTTCCACATTGTTATCGAACAAGCAAAAGGTGGATGCCTTCCAAGGACTAAAGTCCTGACATGGGATAAGATAGAGAAATAAAAGAAGTATTAAAACTTTTGAAAGATTTGAAATTTGCCGCGAAATTATCTAGGTCAAATTGATTTGTGAGTTGACCAATCAAATTCATTGAGAAGTGTAACCGGGTAGCATTCAGTAAAAACTGAAAAATTGAAGATTTCTTTCGATTTTTACTCGTTTTGCGCTATAAATGGGACTTTGTTTGGCTTAAACGGTGAAATATTTGTAAGTTTATTTAGGATTCTTTCTACATAATTCAATGATTTAGTTGAATGCTTGTTATATGGTCGAATATAACTTCGTCGTTACCAACCAATTTCTGTTTGAAAATTTTCTCTGACTCAGACTGACCATGGGCATTCAATAGAAGGGTACATGTATGGAACTCTGTGTTATTACATCAGTACTGCCATTCTTCCCTTTTTGGTAATATTTCAACTCTGTTATATCCATGAAAACGGATAGAATGTCTTCATCCAAAAAGCATGTCCAGATTGTACACAGTAGATCTACTACTTTTTTCAAGGCCTGACTGCGTCGCTAACATTCTAAATATAAGAGTTAGCTGACGTTTGGGAGTCTGACTTACCTTCTAAAGGTTAGAACCCGAATCTTAATGAAACCATATCACCTTTGTTCCGTCAACCATGGAGCATTTGCCACAACATCCAAGAGGTAAATCATGAATCGAGAAAATGAATGATTTCCTTGTAAGTTCCGGAAGTTTCAATACAAAAAATTACCGAACATATGTGAAAACCGAATATTTGTTCGTTGTTTTCACGATTTACAGGTTCGTTTGTTCTTCAATGTTTTGGTCTAAATTATAAAGCATCACCAACAGGTCTTACTCTATTAATCGACTTATACAGCAGACGGCTCATATTTCTACGTAGCATTTCATTCAGACCAATAGTGGGAGTGTAGATCACGCAGTTTCGTTCGTTGCGTACTTCACTTGAAATTGGTAATTTTAAATATTGACTACTTCACTTAGCTTGGCGGATGTAGAACATTGCTTAATATTCTTTTAATTTTCACACCAGACATGCTTGGTTGACACGTCAACAAAGTAAAGTTCAAGGGTCAATGCGTTATTTCGTGATAACTACAACGCCTTCCCGGAAGTCAACATTGATGAAAAATGAAAAAGTCGGAAAAGCATTTACGCTAATTTCTATCAAATGCTATGTTTATGCATCATCATCGACGCAACAAAGGTGATATGGTTTCATTAAGATTCGGGTTCTAACCTTTAGAAGGTAAGTCAGACTCCCAAACGTCAGCTAACTCTTATATTTAGCATGTTAGCGACGCAGTCAGGCCTTGAAAAAAGTAGTAGATGCAGTTTTATTTGGTAGTCTGTGAAGGTTCTGTAGTGTTTCCTCAACTACCGATACGTTCATCACATTCTCAGTACTTTGGTGAAAGATTCCATTATTACATTGGCTTTCACTTCGAGGCTTATGATTATTATCGACCTTATATTCGAGGCCTTCTTATAATTTTCATATTTTACCAAGTATGCAATGGACCAATAGTGACACAGGGACCAACACAACAGAATAGTCTGAATTTGGGACCAAAAAGACCTCTCAGCAATGGTGAAAGACCAACACCGCTGAATAGTGTGAATTTGGAATGTAATAGACCTCTAGCATGTAACTCATTATTACAGGTATTATCATATTCATCCATTCCTGAGGGTTTGTGTAAAAACCCGGGTGACTGGGTACTTAACGTTCCTAGCAGGGTTAGGAATTTTTTTTATTTATAACGTTGGATCTGGACAATACATGTACGTTATTTTTGGTCACGTTTTGAGGTTATTTCACATCGTAAGAACGTTTTGACAACGTTAACTTTTAACGCTAAAATAACGTCGGTAATGAACCGATTAAGTGAGAACATATTGTGGTCTTTGTAACGTTTCCTTGACTCACAAATGTTTTGAAGCCTTTTCCACAATGTTGAAATTCAACCATCCATCGACGTTTTGCTGAATATTTAAATAACGTCAGATCAATACGGTCCATGAACATCATTATTGACATCACGTTTTGAGGTTATTTCAAATCGAAAAAACGTTTCGACAATGTTAAATTTTAACGTTAACAATACGTCGGAAATGAACCGACTTAGTGAGATCACAAAGTTTTTGTCATGTTTTTTCCACCAACAAATATTTTGATATTAAAAGCCTGTTTTGACAACGTTGAATTTTAACGTTTGAGTTACGTCACATATGGACCAATGTAGTAAAAAAAATATCGAACAGCAGTGCACTCGGTAGGCTAAGTCTGTCAAGTCAATTCGCTACTATATATCGGGGGAAATGATGAACTTTGAAAGTTGGTAACCCTGCTAGGAACGTTAGGTACCCGGTCGACCGGGTACCCGGTTACCTGGTCACCCAGTTTTTTACACAAACCCCATTCCTGATATTTCAGTTTGAACGGCATGGAAGTGTCAGGGGAGCCTGAAGCCAACATGTCGAGTGATTTACTCATACACGTAGTGGACAACACAGAGGAGCCTGATGGCCAACGAGACCTTGCACTAGAGAACTCTGCACAGGAAAACCCTGCACAGGAGGGGGCAACTATAGCAGCACTGAAAAATGAAACCAAGATAGATAAAAATATTAAACATACTACAGCATTTTCCAAACATGAAAATGAAACAAAAAGTTTACTGACAAACCCTGTTGCAGTTCAGTTGTTCAATCCATATACTATGTCCAAAGTGCCCCCAATTGCTATACTAGTTGATGGTCAAGAGACAAGACTCACTCCTCTCAGTGACTCTAGTATGACCCAAGATGAACCTCTAAATGCAAATGAAGATGGGAGTCCACAAGCTAAACGAACCAGGACTGATTCAGATAATGATGTGACTGTTGATAAAGAGCCAATACCTAATGTTCTGGTCATTGAGAATTGCCCCAACCGTACGGAGGCACCAGTATTTGCAAATCCTATCATCGGAGAATCATCAGGTCAAGATGTAACTTTGGTGTCCGAGGAGCAGGCTACACCTATCATATTTCAGGTAAGGATATTTCTTTGGAATGTAGCGTGATACTCTATCCCCTTGAAGGTAACAATTAGTCATTGTTGTATATTGTCATACATTTTCTTTTTTATTAGTTCTTATATGTATTATGGGAGTATTTTATTTTTTGTAGAATGATAAGACGATATAAAGACACTTTTTTCTGTCCAAAAAATCGAAGTCACATTTTTATATTCTATAAATTATACAAATTACACCATCACAATCAACCCCCCCCCCGCCAAAAATTCTTTCAAAATCATGCAGTTGTTCGCCATGCTGAGCACTTTTTAAGTGATTTCTGCCATTTTTGGACCAAAATTGTCAAAAGTGTACCCTTTCTCTTCTATAGATACATGCACATGCATCTCTACATCTGCATCTATCCATGTATCATGATCCTTAGAAAGGTCTTTAATTCTTGGTCATCACACTAAGTTTTGGAGGTTTAAGATTTCTCCAAGTGCATTTTGCAGATACGCTACATGTATCTCTTTGCTGAAGTCTAACTTCACTTGTATATTTCAGATTGCGGGTAGGCCCAATGATTTGACTCCTCAACTAGTTCAGTTTAATCCTGTAGTGGCAGCTGGCGATAATACACCCACATCAATACCAAAAAGGACAAAACCTAACTTATCTACCGTGAAAGAGCTCACTACAGGGACACCAAACCCTGGAAAAGTCGGGAAATGCTTTAAATGCGAGTTATGTTCAGCAACTTTTGATCGTATGGGGAACTACACGAGACACAGAATGGTCCATACAGTGTATGTAAAGGTATGTGTTTTTCTTTTTTCTTTATTTAGATCCTTAATTATTGATAAATGCCAACAGCCCTGCTTGTTATATTTTACCTCTTTTATTCTCTAAAATTTGAATGAACTTCTTTATATAATAAGAGTGATGAATTTTAGTTGAATACGTTGTATGATTGATGTTATTATTTTATTTTATAGAAAAATGAAAGCCTTAAAGGTATTCTCTTGTATTCAATTATTACTGATTCTCAAATTGAATTACTATTCGAACATGACCGTATTCAAGCCTTCTATAAACTGTAAACAAAGTCAACATTTCACCTGGGGCATATTCACGAAGTATACCCCTCGTAATACGTGTAATGTGTGACATCGTAACGGCGGGTCGTAGTAATGGCAGACCATAATGAATATTCAAAACAATTTGGTCAGTTTTCATGTTCGAATCATAATATAGACCTCAGAGCAGCGGTAATATCGTCGAATTCACCCCTTAGGGCTAGGCACAAAAGCTTTGGAACCCCCTTACTCCCTTCAGTCATTTGGGGTACAATAAAAAACATTTGTGCCATGCCCTGTGGGGTGAATTCGACAATATTACCCCTGCTCTGAGGTCTATATTTCTTAAATAGAAATGCTCAGTATTTAAACCTTATGACCTCCTTGTTTTCTAGGAATACTTAATTATTAGGTGCAAAGGCATCACATATCCTCCACTTCATTCTAAATATTTTCCCGTTTATCATAATTAGGATGATTATCGATACAAGTGCAAGGAATGTGAGCGTATGTTCCTCCAACAGTGTGATCTCAAGAGACATGAAACCATTCATCGGGGCATGGAACCATTCAGATGTACAGTCTGTAATAAAGGTAAATACACTCCCTCAAAAAGTTTGGCAACTGAAAATCCCTTTTTGGATGACATAGTAAAGCTTTTGTATGTTTTGTGATTTTAATGAATTTGTTAAAGGCATAAATTTTTAACCTAATTAAGGAACAAAGATCCAGACAAAAAATGCTTTAATATGCTATACTGTCGAATAAAGATCTACATTTACTTAATTATTGGAGTTGGGTGTACTCTGGTTTATCATAAGAGTATTGTGTTCACTCATGAATTTTGCATTACTGTCTGCAAATTCATTGTTTTTCTCTATTTATTCTCTATTTATGTTATGTTTATCTATCTTCATTACTTCCAAGATTTATTGGAAAGTACATGTCACATGTATAATTATCCTAATGAAAGAAGTTAAAGAGGGTTATAGAGAAGCCGTCCATTTGTTCATCCATCCGCTTATCTGTCTGTCTGGGCAATAACTCAAATACAAATTGACAGATTGGTTTCAGATCTTACAGGCTAATACCTCTGCTGATGGCCATTCCATTATAAATTCCTGTCATTTTTCTTTAAAAATATAACCTTTGATAAATCAGATTCTAGTTGACAGATTTAGTTCATTTGGTGATGCCTGAGGGGCAGAGAGGCCCTTTTTAAGATGAAATTTTCAAAATGGCCACTGAATTTGAAATATCAATTTCCTGATTTGGTTCAAAGTTTTTATGCTGATGCCTAATGGACAAGAAGAAATTTTAAAGATGGCCTCTGAATTCAGAATGGCTGTCATTTCCATAAAAATGTACTCTTCGATAACTCACATATTATTATTATTATTATGAGCTTTATTATACTTGTATCCCACATTTGGGCAAAGTTTACAGCTTAAACAGAAAAAAATGAAAAAGCTTAACTAATTATCTATATATTATATTAAATAATCAAAGGGTGCTTGATCATTGCAAGACTTATATACCAGTGGACAGATTTGGTTCAAGTTTAATATGCAGATGCCTTTAATAGAGATAAAGGAAACTGCTCAAGATGGAAAATTCAAGATGGCCACTGAATTCAAAATGGCCCCCATTTTTGTAGAAAATCTAGTCTTTGACATCACATATACTAGTAACCATATTTGGTAATATTTCAAATTTAATACCCTGATGCCTAAGGGACAAAGGAATGTGCTCGAAAAGGAATTTTCAAGATGGCCACTGAATTCAAAATGGCCACCATTTTTGTAGAAAATATAATCTTTGATAACTGACATACCAGTTGACAGATTTGGTGCCTTGGGAAATGAAATAAGTAATCTTGAAAATAATCATTTATATGAATTATGAAAAACCCAGGGCCTAAAATTGAGCCCTTGGGTACACCATGTTTAATCCCCTGCTAAACTGAATATATTTGATCTTAAGAATTTGATGGCTGTTACTAAGATTACTTCCAAGGAATTACTTAAACTCATAAGCTTTCAATGTAAATCTATACTGATTCAGTTTTTTGCTCAATTTAGTGCTGTGATTTAAAAATGAGATCCAAAATTGCTTCATATATTTTGTATGTCTTTTCATGTATTTTTTTAACTTCATAGTCACGTAGCGGTTGTATGATTTAAGAAAAAACAGATACAATTTTAGAAACTACCGAATAATGTATGGAATTTTATAAAGATGGCAGCCCATGTTCGTACATTGCTATTCACTGTATAAACATTATTGGCACTTAATCAATCAAACGTGGCTGTTACATCTTCTGTACTCCCTCCCCATATGCATTTATATCAAGTAGAATAAGATTGTTACTAACATTATTTCTTTCGAAAAAAGAACAAAATAAAAATGATGAGATGAATATAATGTTTTATTGGTGAATAACAATTTTTTAATTGTTAACATGCACTTCTTATTTCAAAAGTTATTTTCTGATTAAAAGATGTGACCACATTGGATGGAACAGCAAAATCTTGTTATTATCAGCAGCTGTTTAGTCAGTTGTGAGAAGAAATTAGAAAAGACGGGGAGAACCTTAAAAATAATTCTTATTTTTGATATAATAAACCAAGTACAGAGGAAATTAAAATATTATTTTAAAAATAAATTACAGAAATCAGTGGGCAATATTTTGATACCAAACTTATTTTGTTCAATAATTTCTCCATTTCCCTGGAACAGTAAGTTTACATGTAGAAATCCTAATAATGTCAAATATGTTTTTCAATGGTTCAGTTTGTACTTAATCAAAGGCCTTTCAATGGTCAAGCATACTTACCTGGCACAGGGGATACCTTGATCATCTAGGAGGTTCCCCCAGTGTGAGGCCTGTCCATTGCACTTCGGGCGGGCTGACCGTTGCGATAACCCCAAATGTGGGTTACTCGGGTGCGTAATTTCTGATAGTGGGGGACTGCGTTCGCGCTTTCCCCTGAAAAACTAATGTTAATTTGCTCTCTCCTCTTCTTAATCTTTAGTTCAGTCTTGGGTTCACTTCCTAGATGATTGAAGAATACCCAAGTTTTTCTAAATCAGTATTGAGGAACTTTGCAACTGTTCCCATGTTTTAAATGATTTTGTTTCCTAGACAATGTTGGTCTCTGATTTTCCTGTTAGTAAGTCGTCAGGATTCTAATAAAGCTCCTATGTTACAAAGATAAATAACTTTTCAGTCATTGGGTATATTTTATCATCAGATTATGGCACTGTTGTTAACTAACATTAAAAAAACCTTCTGTTTGCTGTTATATGAACCTCAATATAGGAGGATAAATATTATTCGCTGTTATGTTCCCCATTCTCTTATTGTGAATGTCTGATTTTTTTTTCAAATTGTTATGCAATTGATTTAAAAAAATTAAAATACCAATTGTTGGCAGGTCATATCACGGGTGTAGATTTTGCCAAAAGGAGACAATACTTCTCTTCTTCTTCCATGTTATCTTTTTCATGTACTTGTATTGTCCAAAATGGCTTGCGATTTGATAAAATATGTTTTGTTCGGTGGGATTTCCTACTCCGCAGAGTTGCTGTTTTCTAGTTGCCTATATTATACAAAATAGATATAAGCTGAGAATGAGGATTGTCATACTTAGCTTTAGTATAATCACCTCAGGTAAGAGTGATTAGATCTTGTTATGTACATGTACATGAATTGTTGTTTTGTAGGCTACATTAGGAGAAGTGACCTTAGGATCCATATGAAGTTCCACAACAAACAGAAAGACTTCCATTGTGACCAATGCAGCAAATCATTTTACCAAAATGGTATGTTCAAAATGACTTATCAAAGCCTCCATTTCAATTTAATGGATGGAGAATTTCCAAGTGCGCAAGAAATTTTTGATTTTTCTTATTGCACTCTCTTTTGTGTTACAAATGTTTCAATTAATCATTTAGTAAAATATGTGACAGTTTGCTCAGGTTTTCATTATTTTGAAGGTTTTACTTTACACAGTTTCGAGAGCAAATGCTTTGGGATGCAGTCCCGGTGTTCATTCATAGTATTATCAAGATATCCTACCCTATGTAGTTGCTCATGTTTTTGGCGTTGTGCATACACATTTTATAACGATGTCATGGGCCTATTTTATATTTTCATATTTATTTTCTTATTCTGTATATACATGTTGTAATTTTTAAAATTTAAACTGATTTATGTACTCATCTTTAAGGTGGAAATAAAGAAACATAAACATAATTTATAATTTATTATTACTCATCATATTAAAAGAATGTGTTTTTCACAATCTCAGTTGGCCTGGTTTCTGAAAAGTTGTCCAATTTCCCGTTAAATGTATGTCACCCTTAATTGTAGGTGATTTGAAGCGTCATATAAGACTAGTTCACCTCCAGTACCAATGTTGCCCAATTTCCCGTTTAATTGTAGGTGATTTGAAGCGTCTAGTTCACCTCCAGTACCAATGTTGCCCAATTTCCCCTTAAATGTATGTCACCCTTAATTGTAGGTGATTTGAAGCATCATATAAGACTAGTTCACCTTCAGTACCAATGTTGCCCAATTTCCCGTTTAATTGTAGGTGATTTGAAGCGTCTAGTTCACCTCCAGTACCAATGTTGCCCAATTTCCCATTTAATTGTAGGTGATTTGAAGCGTCATATAAGACTAGTTCACCTCCAGTACCAATGTTGCCCAATTTTCCGTTAAACATATGTCGTCCTTAATTGTAGGTGATTTGAAGCGTCATATAAGACTAGTCCATCTCCAATGTAAGGTCCTCACATGTGGTCACTGTAGCAAGAAGTATGCAAAAGAGGCCACCCTTATCAGACATATGCAAACTCAGCATAGAGATATCATACTGAAGTCTTTACTACAGGAGTTAAAGGGAGAAAAAGATGGGTAAATTCCACTTTTAAATTGGTTACTTTTAAAATAATACACTTGCCTGCAAACATTGCTTTATAAGTCTCTGTCTTTATGAGCCATTTCTGGTTACCAAACTTATGAAGGGGGTGTATCAAAATATCAATAATGTTATTTTTATCTTACATGGACTTCTTATATTAATTCTAAAGTCCATGAAAGAATTTTCTGCATCTATCCCATAATGTGACACAATACAAGTCAATAAATCACAAGAAGTAGAATAAAAATTGAGAAATGATAAATAACTCACTGGACCATACAGTGTAATTACCAGAACAGAATTTTAGTGAATTTGTGAATATAATCCAAATTGATAAGTAAATGTTTAAAATATAAGAAATGAAAACTGAAGTAAATATTTCTGGGAAAAAAATAAAAATATGAGAAAATACTAGAAACAATTACTAAAAATAAGTTTTTTCCATTTCAGAGATGTTAGTCTGTCTGACCTCAATGCAGTTTCTCAACAGGCGGATTCTGTTGCCATCGATGTGGAAACTTCTGCGGGGATCTCTAAGATAACTCTAGACCTACCTCCCGACCTAAACCTCCTACTCCAAGGTAGCTCAACGCCTCTTATCGTATCCATGCCAACAACATCCCTAGTGTCTCTCATCACTAACGCCAATGCTCCCTTAGTTAATACAGGCTCAATGCAGAGGGTCAATACAACATTGACACCAGCCACTCAAACCTTACCATCTTTGTTAATAGAAGTCCCAAATCAGACTGAGGGAGGAGTTATTAATGTTGTGGAACAGGTGTCTCAAACACCAACAATTGTACAACCTATTTCCAATTCGCACAATGTGGAACAACCTATTTCAGAGACACAAAGTGTAGTTCAACCAATTACTGACTCACAAAATGTTACAGAACAAATATCTGAGACACAAAATTTGGTACAACAAATTGCCAACTCTCAGAGTTTGGTGCAACCTATTCCTGACACCCAAAATGAGGTGCAAAATAATTCAGAATCAAAAAGTATCGAACAACATGTTAATATTTCTGACATTCAAAATATTGTTGTTGAGCAGCATCATACTAATAAACAAAAAGAAGACACTCCAGTTGCAATGGCAACCAATTCAGATCTCAACCCATCTCTCACAACTTTTAAGGCTTCAATATGGGAAGACCAGAGTGGAGAAAATGAAGTTGAAGAACATTTGTTTTAATAGGACTCTAAGATAAACACAAGAGATCTCTTTAGAAACGTAGCTTGAATTTCCGTTTGCCATCCTTTAAAAATGCACCTAGTTCTCCAATCCTCATATTGAATTTTTCACGAAGCTTTTAAGTTTTGATAATGAAAAAGAATCCATACTATTTAGTCTGTTAATCTCAGACCAGTCATGAACAGTTTAGGGCCAAGGAAAGATCAGTTCAAGATCCTTTTTTCAAGGAAGCACTTATTCGAGTTCCCCAACTTTTTTGTGGATGGCTTTCAGCGGTTGCTGTTTGGCATTCAGCATCTGTAACAAATGGGGGGTGATGACATTTTTCATGTTAATGGTCATGTACTCTGTTTAGTGCATAACCCCAAGAAAAGATGGTTATTTATTATTAGCCATATAAGTGATAAAGATTACTTTAAATTGATGTATTTCTAATTCTTGGTGATGTGCATTAAATTGAATTGAAAATAAATCTAAATACTTTTACACGTACGAGGTGTTGTCAGGATTAAAAAAGGCGAGGATATATGAGATCCAAAACTTAAGCCAACAATGATATACTTTTAGGACATCATATTTTACAGTTTCAGTTGAAAAATATTGAAAAAAATACTTTTGTAAAATTTTGGGGAGGTATTTGCCATGCCTGTCTAGTAGATAAATAACTATGTCTAGCATGTATGTTTGTTTTTTTATGGCACCACCACAAGTAGTGACATACTAGTATTGTTATAGAGTCTCCAATGTTTTTGTTGATGGTGTTTGGCAGTTGGTGTTCAGAGGTCAGTGTCTTTAACAAATGGGAGGTGGTAACATTTTGCATGCTAGTGTCTTGTTTGAAATATGTTCTAGTATGTAATTTACCAATTAATGAGCGAGGACCAGTAGTTATGAAAGTACATGTATCAGCACTGTCTTTGAACAACTGTTTTTACTACGCAAACCTTAACTACTTACACTAATATTGCCACTATGTGCTAACATCCACCATTGAATCTATCTATGGCCAACTTCCCGGGAATTTCTTGAGCATATTACACTGTGCACCCCCGCACAAATGCCCGGATATTCCTCAATTATTCCGCCATTTTCCTTCTGTAAAGACGGAAATTTTAGAATCGCAATAAATTTACAAATAACTTGTGACTATGGACACGGAACTGGGAAGTTAGTTGTTCTACAGGTTCATCAGTTACAAATGAAAGTAAGAGGACGAGGAAAATAGATCATATGGAACTATAAGACAAGTTTTCAAGGTTTTTTCTTTGGGTTGTTAGTCCACAAAGAAAACATCTGATCTATAAAATGTCGAAGATCTTACCTCGTTCGTTTTATCTTTGCTTGCTCCATATAGGGTCTTCAGTCCCGACATGAGATTATAGTAAGCATATGGAAAAGGTCTCTAGTGTCAATTGACCTTTTTTCCAGACAATTTGTCATATTAAATGACAATTTCTCTGGGGTCATTAGACCATCAGAACACATCATGTACAGAGAACGAAATAGTACATGTTCTTCTCTGTGTTATGTTACATGTGAGAGGTTTTCAATCCAGATAAGAAAGTAAGGAAGCCCGAAGAAGGTAGACACTGTGTTTATGCCTTGCAGTACCTTGCCTTACACTGAGGTGTTTCTTTTGGTTGTCAGTCCATAAGAAAACATTATCTGTTCAAGTTTACACAGCTCTCAATTTTTCGTCTCTGTATTCATCACATAAACGTGTTCAGTTCCAGATGAATATGAGAAATTTGAAAAATATCTATATCTGAAGATGGCTTCAGACAGTCAGAGGTGTTTTTGGTTGTCAGTCCACAATGAAAACACATACGTGTTCAGGAGAACGCAGACGAAATGGCTTCTTTACTGCTCATGTGTTTTTTGGTTGTAAGTCCACAATGAAAACACATACGTGTTCATAAGAAGTTATCACCTCTTTTCTTCATGCACAGTTTATAAAAGGACTCCAGTCCCGATATGAATTATGTATTAAACATGAAGAAATAACTACACCAGTAAATTTGTCTTCCAGGATTTGACATGTGTCATGCATGGACTGCATGATCCTAGGATGAAGAAGATATTTCTTCATCTTACAGTAGCGTGATCACAATAAGATGTTCAGATGAAGACACTTGGTTCACATACATTTAAATGTATTTAGAAAATAACACCGTATGTTGTAAAATCTGGTGTAGTATTCATGTAATGTTGCATACATAGAACACGTATGCTGACCACAGCTGTATAATTGGTTTATTTAGTCCATTCAGTTTTATACTAGTTCTGCGCAGCAGGATAAGATTGTCACTTATCCATTTGGTTCAGTTATTTCTGGACTGAGTTGTTTGTCTACTGTTCAGAAAGAGGATAGGCCCCGGGGGATAGGCTAAAGATTAACAAGAGTTACTGTAAGATTAACAGTAGGTCTACTGTGAAGTCGTCATCTTCTTCACAGAAAAGACCAATATAGCATTTTTAGCCTACTCATCTTCCAAGTAGATGTAAAATCTTTTCGAATCAGAGACCTATAAGTTATGGTCTCTGATTGAGCGTTTCTGTTTTCTCCAAGTAATTGTACATGTTGCTATTAATATATGCTGAAGAAAACGATTCATGGATGCTCACAATCATCCTGTTATTGGTTGATTCAGTCTCTTCAACAAAGAAGTAGAAGGTGACTTAGATTGTTTTAGTTTTTGAGTCTCTAGACTAGGCCTATCCTTCTAGCCATATTAGCCAACAACTGAACAACACAAGTACTTATTCATATAAGAAGTGTTGTAAGCGTTGACAAATGACAATGTCATGAACTTGTCATTTCTGACTGAAATCTTTTTTTCTCAGGAATCATTTCTGAATACTCCTATTTAGCAGTTTAGACTCTATTCCTGGAATATTAACATTCAGAATTGAGTTGGCGGAAGTACCTTCGACATAGGTTACTTTCTCCAGATGCTTCTCATAAAGCATTCAACTCAGAGTTAATTGTTTGAGGAATTAAGATTACAGTCGAGGTTTTTTGAAAACTTAAACATTTGGCGGTTTTCAGTTTGCCAGATAAAGTAAGGTTATGTCTAAAACATCACCTCCGTGAAGGTTTTGTTTCCTTTATTTTACTTGGCCTTGGCAGCTTTTGAAGTCAAAAGTTGATTTTTGAAGTCTAAGATTACTTTTCAGATCTCTTGTAAGTCAGTTCAAGAGACTGTAAATCAAATTCTGTGCTTTCCCCTACAACCTTGGGTGTTATTCCAAAGGTTTTATTTTGTGATGAGGGGAAGTAGTTATACTTACTTATAACAAGTCCCTATATCTGTATTCCAGACTATGGGCCTGTTTGCTACCACATCACACACAGAATGAATATTTGTTTATTTTGTCCTTGTTCAGGTTGCTCAGAGTATAGTCAAGTGACTTTTAAACACGGTGTTTTACTCAGTGTTTTACTGAGCCAGTCTCAGTCATGACAGTATCATCATCAACAGGTTCACAGTCGTGCCGTGCTTCTGTGTAAACTTTTGTGTCTTAAATAGCCACACCTTCACTTTAAGTCATGGTATCATCAGTGTTCAGTTCAATCACTATTTGAGAGATCTTACATGTTGTTTAGAGGTTTATGTTTTTTCACCATGGAATCATTGTTACCATGTTTCCTTGGTGGTAGAACCTCAACACATCATTTAGTGGTACTGAAGTACTATATACTCGAGAGCTAGTGTACTATGAGGTTATAGACATGGTTTCGTTTGTCTTGACATGAGCTCTTCCAAACAAGAGATTCAGACTTACCTTTTTACGCATTGGTCAATTAATATTAACAGTGGCAATTTTTTCACACATATGTCTTGTCGTGATCAAATTTTGACCAAGTTATTTTTGTAACAGTCTCATGATTTTAAGAATCACAGACATTCTCTGCTGACTGTTATACATATGATCTTTAACGGAAATCTCAGTTTTCCGTGGAGTTTTGGAGATATTTCTATACGAATTATCTTCAACTCCATCTATACTTTATCCAATAGTTTCATTTTTGAGACAGTACATTTTTTAAGATGTTGTTCTGAGTAGAACACTGAGTTAAGGAATCGTTCTGCCATGAGACTAGTAATGTCACTTCCCCCTTAATAGGACAAATATACATCTAAGGTTTATGATGTCAAGATTCCAAGTAATTAACAAGGCATTTTGGTGCCCTGTCACAGGAATGTTATTCTCAGGAACCACATAGTGATCGGTTCGATTCCTATTAGCTACTGTAGTTTAGTGCTGTTTGCCTATTCTATTTGGCAATTGAATAAGGCTTTTAACGTTGCTTTATTTTCCTCTGTACCATTCACATTTGAGGCAGATGGTGGTCAACCTCTATGAGGTGTTTAACAGAGGATTTCAATGCGAGAATAATTCTCGTTATATTTATACATGTTATATGGGAACGGTTCTTGAACACTTACTAGGTAGATGAAAGTTGCCCAAGAACATTTTTGTGTTCAAAGATGCAAATCATAACGTAGTTGTCATATCCACGTTGCTTGACAGCTAGACTTCCTTCAAAATCAGGGTTCATTTTCAACAAGAGAATGTGAAACACCTGTAGATTTTAAGGATGAGAAGCGTGATGGGGTTTTTAACACCTATATTGCAAGTAAGCAATATTGTGACATCTGACACTACAGTTCAATTGATGTGTAATACTATTAACTATTAGACATCAAGACGTCTCACTTGAATTGTTTGTTGTTTCTGATTCAAAGATTATTGATGTTTAGAACATCATAGTCTTATTAATGTGAGTTTGCATTCTAATGAGTTTATTTACTCATATTTTAGTGATAGTATACATGTTTGTTTATGACTAAACAGCAATATTAGAAGATAAAAGAAACGTATATCTTCCCCAGCAACTTTGTGGATAAATTGCAGGTGTTTCTTACCAAGAGACGCAGAGTTTTTATCACACTATACATGCGATAAGACTAGAATGCTACTGAATTACTTGGTAGTCGTCTTATTTACCTGTAATTGTTGTAAATCGAACTCTCTAATGATATTTCTATCATGATATCGTACAAGATTATGCTTTACTAATCTAGTAAATTTTCTGATGTCAGCATATATCAGAGGAGGGTTTTCAGAACCAGTTCCTAAATGATCTTGTCCTGATAACTTCTTCTAGAGTCGAATGATTCTTTAAGGTTTTGAGTTAGTGTTGTGAATCAGTTGAACTTATTCACTCTTAACCATTATAATCCCTTTCTTGGGTTTGTACCAAGATCTAGGATTGTATTCAGCAGGTATCATTTAGACATGTTTGGATACATGACTATCTAATTAACCGATT